CAGTTCCATCATTAGCAAGCAGGGATTTGAGTTGACCTGATTCTGCTGAAGACGATGAAAACAACCTTTTCAGTTCTTTGTCAGCTCCTACAAATGTTGTCCCGCAGTCACTCGTTAAAGTAGCACAGATGCCTCGACGGCTGGTGAATCGTTTGTAAGCCGCTATGAAGGCTTCTGCTGAGTAGTTGGAAACCAACTCTAGATGAATAGCTGAGGTCGCCGAGCAGATGAACACCGCAATATAACCTTTGTAGGTTTTTGCTCTCTTTCCATGCCATGTTTTGATTACAAAAGGGCCTGCGTAATCTACACCAGAGTGCAGAAAGGGACGTGATGGTGATGTTCTTGTAGGAGGAAGCTGCCCCATTAATTGTTGAGCTCTTTGAGAGCGATAACGAGCACAAGTAACACACTTTAACAGTTCTCGTTTGACGATAGGTCTACCTCCAACAACCCAGAACTTCTGACGAACGGTTGCAAGTGTACAACGGGTGCCACTATGCAGAGTCCTGAGATGAGCATCATCTATCACTAGTTTTGAGAACTTAGAATTCTTCGGAAGGATATAAGGATGCTTTGAATCATATTCTAATGAAGATTGTTCAAGTCTGCCTCCAACTCTCATTAAACCAGTGTTATCGACAAAGGGGTTAAGACTTATAAGATTAGATTTTTCTAAAGGTCTGTTGTTTTGTAACCGCGCAAGCTCATTTTTGAAGGCATGTTTTTGAATGAGTTTTACCCACAACAAAAGGGATGAGTTGAGATCTTGAGGAGTTAAAAAAGATTGACAATTAGTAGGGATGGATTGTTTTGTTTTGGCAATGAACTTTTGACACCAGGCAGTAACACGTAATAGTTTTGACAGTGTTGAGAAGCGCTCTAGCATTTCTGGTTCTGGTTCAAAGTTTAAAATGTGGCAAGTTGATTGAGGGATTCGCAGTTCAGATTTCGCTGCTTGAGCTGGATCAAACGTCGTGGATGGCCATTCATAAACATCTTTATTCAGCCACGGAGGACCCGTCCACCAAAGCTTATGGTTGCTAAGGATTTTAGCAGTAACACCTCGTGAAGCACAGTCGGCTGGATTTTCATTTCCTGCTACATACCTCCACTTAGCGAGCGGTTCTGTCTCTTGTATAACACTTACTCTGTTACGCACAAAGTCTTTCCATTTTGAAGGTTGATTTGTGATCCAGGATAGGGAAACCATAGAGTCAGTCCATAACCATGCTTGGGTAGATTCTAAGTTGAGCATTTTCCGAACATACTTTACAAGTTTTACTAGTAGTGTAGCAGCAGTGAGTTCCAGTCGAGGAATCGACATTGTCTTGAGAGGAGCTACTTTAGTTTTAGAAATAACTAAACTAACAGTGATATTTTCACGATTAACGATTCTTAGGTAGACTACAGCACTCATTGCAAGCTTAGAAGCATCTGAAAATCCATGAATTTCTACCGAAGATAGTTGGGTAAGACCAAGACAACGAGGTACTTTAACTAATGGCAAATATTGTAGGTCAGCTTCAAGGAGTTTCCATTGGTCTTGCAAGTGATTAGGTAAAAGTTGGTCCCAATGAATTTTTACTAGCCAAAGTTGTTGCATGAAGTGTTTGAACCTTATGATAATAGGAGAGACAAAACCCAAGGGATCGAATAACTGACCTATTTGAGAAAGAACTTTTCTTTTCGTGCATTTGTCTTTTGGACTTAGAGTAGGAAGAAACTGAAAATCGTCGCTGAATCGATTCCATGTAAGTCCAAGAGTACGTATACTGGAGGATTTGTTTATCAATAAGGAATTGCCTTTTTCGCAATTACTTTCCGATATGTATGATAGTACATTTTGATCATTGCTGATCCACTTCTGTAAAGGAAAACAACCTAATTTGCAAAGCTCGTCAGTCTGTTTTACTACTTCTCTGCACTCTTCAATCGAGTCTGCACCACCAAAAATGTCATCCATATATCTCCCTCTTGTCAACATTTCACTAGCTTGGGGATATGCATCACCGTGATCGACGATAAGCTGATTCATTGTTCTTAGGGCGAGAAAAGGAGCGCATGATAACCCATATGTAACAGTCTGTAGTTGAAATTTTCTAAGATGACCATTTTCCATCCAGAGAATTCTTTGAAGATCTCGATCACTAGGATGTACTAGAATCTGGCGATACATTTTCTCGATATCAGTGGCAAATACGAATTTATAGCGCCTAAACCAAGTGAGAATATCAGGTAGTTCTGTTTGGAGTTTTGGACCACTGTAGAGTACGTCATTCAAAGATAATCCTGAACTAGTTGGGAATGAGGCATTGAAAACTACTCTTAATTTAGTCGTCGTGCTAGAAGGACGCGAAACACCATGATGAGGTAGGTAATATATGGGAATGGTAGAATCTATTTCTTCAATAGTTTCAGACATGTGACCAAGGTCCTTGTATTCTTCTATGAAATTAGTATACAAGTTTTTGTACTCAAGATCGTTTGAGAGACGAGTATTTAGCTTTGTTAAAATTTGAAAGGCTGACGATTGAGATTCTCCAAGCTGATTGACTGTTTCCTTCAGGGGAAGTCGGACTTGATAGCGACCGGAAGGTTCTCTAGAAAAGGTTGATTGATAATGTTCCTCACATACTTGATCATCAGGAGACTTGACTGATTCTTTAATTTGAGGAATTTCTTCCTGTACCCAAAATTTTTGAAGAAAATCATCAAGTTTGTTTTCAATCAAGCAATGAAACATTGATGAGGTAGATTTATTTTCCGTCATTCCAGTAGGTCCAGACAAGATCCAACCGAAAATTGTTGCTTGTGCTACTGGGGAGAGGGGTGGACCTTTAATTAGACCAGGAAGGATAATAGACGTGTAGATGTCTGCTCCTAGGACTAAATCTACAGATTCAGACTTCATGAAGGCAGGATCAGCTAGTTGAAGTCCCTTTATATGATTCCACGATGAATGATTTGGTGTTATCGATGGCAAATTTGATGTGAGATTTGAAAGGATGTGACAAGATAAAGAGCAGCTAACTTTGGTATCATACAGAGAACTAAGATTGATTGAAACTATACCACGAGTGGTTGGGGCTTGATGTCCACCGATACCAACAAGAGATACTGAGGAGTATGAACGCTTCAGATTGAGAGTTTGTACTAAGTATTCACTGATGAAAGAGATTTCAGATCCTTGGTCGATTAAAGCTCTGGCAATAACACTATTTCCCTCAGGACCAATTACCTTAACTTGAGCGGTTGCTAGGAGCACAGATTGTCGATTAATTTCCTTAAATGGAAGCATGTGATTAGAGGAGACGTGTGAGCTTGATGATGTGTTATCTGTAGATGAGATGAATTTGTTAGGGATGAGAGAACTTGACTTTTTTATATGAGGTATATTTGTAGTCTGGCTAACAGCGTCATGAATTAGAGTGTGATGTCTTTTCTTACATTGTAAACAAGATTTATTTGAGCGACAGTCCTTTAACAAATGTGAACCAAGACAGTTGAAACATAATCTTTTGTTCACAAGAACCTCTTTTCGTTGACTAGGTACTTTTTCACGAAACTCCTTGCAAAATGCTAAATAGTGATCTTTACTACACAGTTGACAATCATTTCCTATATTGGACTGAGATTTTGCTACAATTTGTGCTGAATGTACTTTAAGATTTTGATGAGGTTTACCTTTACATTGTAGTGTAGTTACCGTTACATCGCTTGGTGGTGTTGCTCGTGACTCAATACTTTCCAGGGCTCGAATACGACCTTCGATGAAGGTCTGAAGATCTTCTAGGGTGGAGGGTTCTGTTGAGACTCCGTAACGAATCTCCCATGCTTCGTGTGTCTCTGGGTCTAGTCGTTGTACAATCATGTACACCAAGATGTGATCCCATTTATCTGTAGGAGATCCTAGCGCTTTGAGGGAACCTAAAGACTCATTGATAGTAGACATGAGGTGATTGAGACCACTAGCAGATTTATTTTCTAGAGGTTTTAAATTAAATATATCATCCAAATGCCTTTTGATTAAAACACGTTTGTTTTCATATCTAGTCACAAGTTTTTCCCAAGCTGGCATGAAATTTTCTCCTGTTATTTGGAAATTGGTTAGCAATTGAGCAGCATCACCTGACAAACTGGTTTTGAGATAGTGTAACTTAGCTACATCAGTTAAGTTAGGATTTTGGATCACCAGTGAAGAAAAAAGATCATGGAAAGGTTTCCAAGACTGGTAACTTCCTGAGAATTGAGGTAGCGATATTTTAGGTAGTATAGGTTGATTTGATTTACTCATAGAACTAGATGTATTGATATCAGATGTGCTTTGATTTTGTTGAGAATTTACCGATAGCTCATCTAAGAGAACAAGCATTGCAGATTTGCTTACCATATATGCTTCAAGTGCTTGACTGTAGTGATCTTCATTTATGTAGGCTAGGTCTTTTAGTATGTCAGCTTTTGACTCACATATTTTCTCGTGATCCCTCTCGAATTTCCTCCATTCTGCTTCGATAACATCAATCCGGGTTTGTACTTGAGGCTTCAATATAGTTGTTATATCCTTTTCCTTGAAATAGTCTGTGGCTTTTTCTAAGATTTTTAAGCGTGTTGCTTGAAGACCTAGTTTGGATTCTAGGGACATAACTTCAACTGAGAACAGGAAATTTTCTTGATTACTTTTATAACTGAATTGAAAAAATAACTGTTAATTACTTATTTATTCCGGGTCAGAAGGACCAAATGAATAAAGAATTTAGATACTGATGGATAAACTTAGATTGAACGATAGATGTAGATAGATAATTAAGAGAGAAAAACTAGATGATGTTTTTAGTGGACTGTATTTCTTTAAACTGAACAAAAAGTAAACATGATATAAAATAAGACCAGCTGTTAGAAACAGTGAATTAGAAAAAATAACTTTAAACATGTACACTAGTTGTTTTTATTGCTCAACTTAACTTCTTTATTATAATTTTGATATTTTTACTTTTCCCAATCCAACAAGAGATGAAAAAGACTAGAGTTTTGGTGGTGAAGGGGGTAGGTTTCCGTAAGTGGGGAGGGATGGTCAGTCAGTTGCCAGCGATGCTGTCGGTGATTCAACTTGTACTTATCGCAGGTCAGTTACAACAGAATCAACTTACGTTAAATTAAGTTTTATAGAATATAGTCATTTTTTCATTTAGATAACATATTTTTAAATGAAACCGGTCTCTTTAAACCTATTGCTTAAACACGACTTTACCACTGTAAACCAATAAATTCACATGTTTAAGTAAAGGTGTTCACTGTAGCTTAAAATTCACAATCCGTGACTTTTTACGCCACTCTAAGTTTTCAAACGTAAATCACTAAACAACGCATAAGAACTGAATAGTTATCAGATTCAACTACAGATAGGCCTACCTAGTATAATATTTTTATGATATTATTCCTTAAAAAGTGTAGGCTAGATATAGCGAATTTTATTTACCATACATATTCGTAAGATATGTGCGAAATGTGACCTTCTGTACATCTGCACAGCATTAAAGACATGCTTAAACGCAAGCAAGAAACGTCAATGATATTTCTACAATGATATTTGCAGATGTATGTAAACAATGTATTTCATTTACAAAATATTGTATATCTAACTAATAAACCTCTTAAAATGTTAACAGTAAACATAAGTTGATAGTTACAATCAACATTAGGACTCAGGATTACTTAATAGGCCTACAATGTCTTCATCTTTGACTGACATCATCGGATAGATTGCGTCAATCGTCAATTTAATTACTATATACACAAAAAAAAAATTAATATTTACAAACACTACAGAAACTCTGTGGCATGGCGGTTTGGATTATTTAGGAATCAGGAAATATTTAGAATTGGAGGTTTGGCTTTAGGGACTTTGAAATCAAAAGTATTGAGCAGTTTTCGCATATTGATATTTTTGGACTGCGGTAATAGTTTACTTTCCAATAGGCAAATTCGTTAATGATGATGACGTTTAGTCATATTTTTGTTTCAAAGTTAGGTCTGGAATCCGTCCAGTTGGACTTTTTGAAATTAAACCTGCGTCTTAGAGGAACAACTTCAGGTTTAACAACAGCACTAACGGTGCATACTATAGGTCTGTGTTGAGTTCGGGGAATCGGATTATCTACAGACTTTTCACACTGTGAGGCAATCCTGCTGCCCACAAAGATGTTGTCAGGGTTATAACCTCTCTTCCATCTACCGCTGTTAAAGGAACAAGGGAGCTTAGGATCGTGTATGAGCTGCAGGTCATTTGCCTCAGCCCAGGTTTCAAGTTTTGTCAAATTTTTACTCGTCTATTTGTACCCCCAAGCAATGCTCTGACAATTAATATCCCCCAAGACGAAATTAATGTCATCATATAGCATAGATTATTGGGCTCTGTAAATACATACATAAGAGGCGACACTGTACTGTGGTGTCCTGACCGTTAGTATCTCAGTATTGTTCCTCTCAGTCAGCGAATGAGGTGATGTCAATGTATGGCCTGGCAAAAACCGGTCTTAGGTAAAAAAGTATTGCATTATTCGTAATGCTTTGGAGACGCGTTTTGAACTACAGTATATTAAAATGAGCAATATTCGCACGTGTCTCCTCGTAATATTCCAAAGCTGTGAATTGAATAGCGCTAGTAAAAACAAGTAATTACATTTACAATAGCCTATAACTCTTTTTTGCTCACAATTCAAGAACTTAATGTAGACAATGCACAATTTACATTTTTTTTTAACAAGACTCGACAAATTATAAAAATATAATGTAACACTAGTTTGGCAACACATAAAATATTAATTTTCGTCATACTGCAGCAAAAACAGCCGTTTTAATGCATGCGTTGCGGGGCTAAAGTTGCATGATAGTAAAGTTAGAAAGCTAAAAGTTTTCTCTTTAGGGAGTAAAAATCATTTTTAGTCTCTAGGGAGTAAAAATCAGCTGTTGTAAACAGTTGTAAATTTTGATTGTGGCAATCATATCGATCTAAATTATTTATCGATTGATTTATCAGGTAAGGTCTCTTCTCCTATTGTTGTCCATTGGTCGACATATCGATCGTACAATGTACAATCGTAATAGACGAAATGATTGAATCACTTACTAAACAGCTGCTTATTTGCATTAGCAGAATTGAAAACAAGTTGGAAGTCGTTTTGAGAGGTTATCTTTACATAAAAATAATTTCGTTTTCTAGCTTAGTTTGTTATAATAATGATGAAATATGATGAAAAATATAGTTCACCACACGGGTCTTTTTAACCCCCGCTCATTTTCCGACCTTTCTCAGGATTGAACCGACGACCTTTTGATTGTTATTCGAGCACTTTAACCAATCAGCTACATAGCTACTTTCCGTCTCATAGTAATATTTTAACGAACCTAGTTAGAAACGAAAGTACTTTTTCGGCAGCAAAAGCAGCCGTTTTAATGTATGCGTTGTGGGTCTAAAGTAGCATTATTTTTCATTCTCTAGGCCCAAGGGAGTAAAAAACTTTTTTAGCCCCTAAGGAGAGATGAAGATATTGTTGGAAAGATATTTTCCTGTAGATGTGCAGAATCCCTTTATAAATTCAAATAGGCTCAAAATAAGCACAAAAAATCTAAAAAAAATTTACACGGGCCTTATGGGTTGCCATGTTAGGGACGAAATAACAACAAAATATAAACAGAAAATCAAAACAATTGGAAGAAATTCCCATCACATGTTTTATTTACAGTGTGGGATGAAAATACAGAAGTCTGTACATAACAAAAAAATTGGTCGAGTTTTCGACCACTGGACGACCTCTAGTAAAAATTGTAACACCCTAAAATTGATCTATGTAAATAGATATACACATGTCCGTCCGATATAGAACACTAAAGAAATGGTATGAATATTGAATCAGGGTTTTGATTCTTGAGTATCCTAAAGGGCATGAAATCACCCTACTGGTAACATGAATCATTCTCCATTTTACCAGCAAAACATTGCTGAGACACTTAATTGCTAGTGGAAATTAATTAACAAAAATAGCTTATAAAGAAAAACCCAAAGTAACTTTTGATTTTTGAGTCATCAACCATCATGTATTTGTGTTTCAGGTCTAAGTCATGCTTGGAAGTACTCTCCTACTGACAAGCCTGAAGGTATGAAACAACAAAGTTAAGTTGTCAAGTTGATGTGACGTAATGTGTTGGCCCTTGACAGTGTGAAGGGTGTGTTATTTATTTACTCAGCCCTGTGGCTGGTTTGTATTCACATAGCTTTGCATTTTACTAACAACATTCCATAGTACTGTAAAAACTGCATTGTTGCACCAAACCTTGATACCAAACAAGTTTCCAATTGCTTTGTTCAACCAGCAAGCAAATTCCTAAAATAGCTATTTACATTACAAGTGTAGTAAGAGCGTTTTTACATCACGTAGGTGAATGTTGTGCAACGAGCGGAAGCGAGTTGCATAATTTACCTAAGTGATGTAAACACGCTCTTGCGTAACGTGTAACGTACAAGATTTTACCTGACCCGACAATATACATGGGTTTACGTACAATATTTTTCACTATCCATTTCACTCATCTTCTATCAGTAACGTTCTTTTACTAACAAAATTGCAAAAGCTAGGTTAGGAAAATACTTTAAAGCATAACAATAACATTCAAGCGCACAGCTGATTTCTAGCGTTGAACGTCGTTGGCTCCATAGAGTTATATTTTTTACCTAACCCGCCATGTTAAACTTCCCTATCCCAAGCGTGATGTATATAACTTCGTTACTTCTCGAGTGATGTAAAGTTGAAAAAAAACTCACTCGGTGATGTAATGAAACCCATTTAAATAACATTGAGTGCTTAACTTTAAAAATATACCTCTATGGAGCCAACGACGTTCAACGCTAGAAATCAGCTGTGCGCTTGAATTTTATTGTAATATTTTGAAGAATTTTCCTAACCTAGCTTTTGTTTGTAAATGAACGTTACTGTTAGAAGATGAGTGAAATGGATAGTGAAAAATATTGTTCGTAACCTCCTGTATATTGTCGGGTCAGGTAAAATCTTGTACGTTACACGTTACGCAAGTGCGTGTTTACATCACTTCGGTAAATTATGCAACTCGCTTCCACTCGTTGCACAACATTCACCTGCGTGATGTAAAAACGCTCTTACTACACTTGTAAGGTAAATAGCTATAACGTTAAGCACTCAATGTTATTTAAATGGGTTTCTTTACATCACCGAGTGAGTTTTTGATACTTTACATCACTCGAGAAGTAAGGAAGTTGTATACATCACGCTTGGGATAGGGAAGTTTAACATGGCGGGTTAGGTAAAAAATAATTGTTACTTAGGACACATGCCAAACATATGAGTAAAAGGAATATATGGTGAATAAGGTTTGCTGCTGTGAGAAACACACAAATTTGTGTATTGTAAAAACCTATCATGAACAAAATAAATATTTTTCACCACACTATGATGTTTTTGGCTGTATTACATACGTTAGTTGGTGGCTGAAAGTTACATTTTGCTAAAAACTATCTCGAGCAGGCAAAACCACGTTTTCGGCCCTAGGTACTAAATATACTACCTATTAAATCTTGTGAGGATTATGATAGGCCTATATAGTAATATACAACAATAATTAGTGTGCTCTTCATAAGGATAACATGGAAGGAAACATGTTGTGTATGTTTTTGGATAAGCAATAAATGATAATTTTTTTAAATTAAAAAGATTAAAATTACTCCTACATAGGTAATAATTTGCCCCTTACAAAACAAAGGGGTGTTGGTACATAGGCTCATCATATGTACTTATGCCCCTTCGTCTTGCAAGCGTCAAATTGTTACATTTACAAGATAATTGCATTTTTCAAAGCCTCGAACTTGTATATGGGTACATGTAAATGGTGTATATAAACACCAACATGTTTGTTTAAGGCAAAATGGCTTAATGTTTCGGTTCAGTTTTTGTTACTATTTATCAAGTATATCTAATTGTTTACTTTGTCTTGCCAATTAATAATAACACTGTGTACAGGGTGGCCAGGATTATGTATTGATGGCACCAGACAGTCGCCTATAGCCTTAGTCGCAGAAACAGCTGAGCGCTTTGTGGTTGAGCCTCTAGAGTTTTTCAACTTCAAAAGCCTTAATGGGACCCTAGAAAACAACGGTCATACCAGTAAGTGTTTGTAAGATTTACTCTTGAGCAATGGATGCAATTAATAATTTTAGGTTTTTCTCAAAGATGATCATGAGCAAAACTATCGGAGGACATTTTCAATATATTACCACGACATTCAATAGACACTAAAAATAGGGTAATGTTTTGCTTCGACATTTGGTGACATAAGGTTTGTAAAAAAAAATAAAGTTTTATAGTTCATGTGACATTGTCAAATAATGATCCTTTTACGTTAATGTGACAAACTTAATTTAGTACAGCTAACTGAACAGGACCATTTCACAGTGGTAAATTTCAGATACTATGTTTTGTGTTTTTTACTATGTAATGTATATATATATATATCTGCAAATACAAAGTGGGATCGGACAGATCTGTCAACTGTCCTCCTCCAATCACCTTGTTGAACTTATTTCTAATATGCTAATCTTTCAATTTACTAGTGATGTGGCACTCTGAATTTGATAAATAATAATAAACTGTTTATTTAATGTTGGATTGATAATAAATTGTTCAATATTGCCTGATTTTACTGACATATTTATATTACCTTTTGTTGATATTTGGATAGTCAAATAAAATGCAAAGTTAAATCAAGTTGAATATATAATAGTATGATCGGTTAAGCCGTTACTCTTAAAAATGTGTCACTCTTGAAAAAAATGATATCTTAGGATCAAACTGCAGGAGAATAAAAGATGATATTTGAAAAAAGAATGTGTTTTGAGCTATTAATTAAATTTACAATTCACACAATCAGCAGGGAATGGATGATACAAAACTTAATCGAATATAGTCAGAGAAATACAGTCTATTTCCAAGTGGAGGATTTGATTGTGATATAATTTGATTCAATCCTATCAACCCCAATAATATGCACTGTTCCGGGAAAAATAGAGAAAACCAATTTATTAATTTATTATTGAGATCACCAGACTCTCCAAGTATATTTTATACAGCCGGCCGGTTGTATGTTATTGCAATAGGGACTTGTTTGCCAGTGGACTATACTGCAGTACCACTGCGATGTTCAATACAAATACCCCCGTCGCAGCAAACCTGCATACTAAGCGAATTTCCATTTACCTGGCTTGATTTCTACTAAAATATTCCCTATAAATTTTCAGATTTGTTTCCTATTTAAATAACATTAATTTTAGTGAGTACTGTAGTTAGGTTTGCTGCTACGGGGAAGATGTTGAGGTGTGTTTTATCAATTGAAATATTGATAGCTTAGTATGAAATAAACCAAATTGCCAAATTTGATTAAAATATATCCATAAACAAGCAAACTAGAACAGTTTATTTATTCTCCATAAGAATAACATGGGAGTTTTAAATTTACAATTTTTTAATTTTTCTCCGTAGTCAATGAACATTCAAAAACACTTCAATATACTAAATTATTTGTTTTTTTTTATGCTCTTCAAAATGGTCTAGAGAAAAATTTAGAAATTTAAAATTTTTAGGGTCAAAAATGAGAAAACCCCATTTTTACCCCGTAAAACCACCCATAAAGCCCTGATCCCATGGTCCGATTATGCTGGTTCGCGAACTCGTTTGAATAAATGTAGGTTTACACGTTTGTACCAAATTTCATCAAAATCGGATCAATTTTGCTCGAGTTATCGCGCTAACAGACACATATATAAATATATATATATATATATATATGAATTTGAACGGATACCCCCGCCGCAGCAAACCTGCAGACTAAGCGAATTTCCATTTGACTAATTGGATTTATACTGAAATGTCTACTTAAAAATATAACATTTATTCTCTATTTAAATAGAATTAGTTTAACTAGTATTTAGGTTTGCTGCATCAGGGAGGGTAAAACTGTTTTTTTTTTTGTAAAATGTTAATAGTTAGTAAGAAATAAAAACATTTTCCAAATTTGATCAAAATATGTTCATAAACAAGCAAACTACAACAATTTACTTATTCTCCATAAGAATAACATGGAATTTTAAATTAAAATTTTTTTTGGAATTTTCTCCGTAACCATTAGGCGCATAATAACGCTTCAATATACTAAATTATTTGTTTTTTAAGCTCTACGAAATGGTTTGGAAAGAAATTGCTAAATTTTATGTTTTTTGGGTCAAAAATGGAAAAAACCTATTTTTACCCCATAAAACCCCCCGTAAACCCCCGTTCCCATGGTCCGATCATGCTGGATTGCAAACTCGTTGGAATAAGCGTAGGTTTACACGTTTGTACCAAATTTCATCAAAATCGGATCATTTTTGCTCGAGTTATCGTGCTAACGGACACACACACATATATATATATATATGAATTTGAACGGATGGTGTTTTTGGCATCTAGGGACCTCAAAATGAAAAAAAAAATGGGTCCCGCGTCCAGGTCTTACCATGAGTACTACGGTAATAGCTTATTCCCTATATGGGAAATTCGCTAAAAGGGGCCGATAGACTACTGAGTCAGATCTTTGGTAGACTGTTTATTTGAAATTAACAATTTGACTCTAATGGGAGTCAATCCTTGTGATCTTTAAAGTTCCACCTAGCCTTCAATCGTGGACAATGCAACGTTTGCCTCTGAATCCCTCCTCTAAAAACACAATCAACCACTCGCACTGAAACAGATTTTTTGATCAACCAATAACTCAAGATATTAAATGTAATACAATAATTTCAGATGTAATTACAAAAATTGACCTTTAACATAGAATTAAAAATTTATCTTTTAACACAGATAATTATTGATTTAAATTTAATTGGCTTTATAAATTAATTTATTAGATATTTAAACCTCTAATAATTTCTACAACTAACTTGACTTTACAATATGACCAATTTAATAAGTAATACATATTTCTAGATTTGAGAACATGCGACATTAAAAACTGTTAAACGGACCAACTAGAACCGGATTTGCAAAGCATACATGTACAGGAAAATATGAAAAATGGCAGATTGGCAATTTACTAAATTACATCTAAAACACAGACAATATGAAACATTTACTTACGTAACACAGGTCAATCACACATAACATTCATACACGGACAATTTAAATAAAACATTCCTTGGAGGATTTTTGTCAAAACCGGCCGAGTTTCTGACAACGGTTCTTTACGATTGTCTGGTTAATCAAGATACTCAATTTTTTTTTTAAATCTGTGCGTGCATACTGCATACCTTCAATTTGAGATCTCGATCATGAAAATCTGTTGGGTAGAAGAGCGATCTCGGAAAAGAAAAACCAAATTTTACTCTCATAAGAAATACATGGGGAGCAAATTTCTTTTACGTATAAAGCCGAGTGAGTGGGACTGTAGATAAATATATGCCGATGCTTGATGTGAAATCTGTGTGTGCATACCTTCAATTTGAGACCTCAATGACCCAAACAAACTCGGAAAAGAAAACACAAATTTAACTCTCATAAGAAATACATAGGGAGCACATTTAATTCACTTATAAGCTGAGTAGGACTGCAGATAAATTTATGCCGATGCTTGATGTGAAATCTGTGTGTACATACCTTCAATTTAGAACTCAATCATGAAAATTGGTCGGGTAGATGAACAAATTATACGAACTTGGAAAAGTAAAACAATTTTTTTTTTAATATATAAGCATTGACTACTGTATTCAGAAGTAGACTTCCCGGACCAGCTGTAGCTAATTTTTTTTATTAAAAAAGAAAGTAGTTGTGTGAGCTAGTCACAGAATGCGCTAGTGACTAAAATTCCATTTTAAAACCTTATTTTTTATTGCTGACCAGGTTAGGTTGACAGTTGCTATAACTCATCATAAGTCATCCCCTAAGTTCGAATTAGTCAAAAGGTTTGTGTACCTATTTGGCAAAATTTAGCAATTTAGATCAGCGCAATTTGTAGGTGACTCACATAAACTACGAAGATTTCGATAAAAAATCTGGCTACAAATTGAACATGGGGATGGAATGTCTAGATATAAGATTGCCAAAGTGCTCACCTAACCTAATAATTACATGTTTGTTGGTTTAATCCTTCAGTTTGAAACTGAAACCCTGATGTCCATCATGGTGGAAGGAAAAAACATAGGTGTGCTATTCCCACATATTCTGACGTCACTCGGATTGCAAACAAAAGATCACCTGATTGTAACTGTCAAATTAGTATGTATTTGTTTTGATTTGATTGTTATTGTTTTTATAATAATAAAAACAATAACAACCAAATCAAAACAAATACATATACTAATTTGACAGTTACAATCATGTGATATTTTGTTTGCAATCCGAGTGACGTCAGAATATGTGGGAATAGCACACCTATGTTTTTTCCTTCCACCATGGATGTCCATAACCATTGATATTTTAATAATAATTTTATGGAAATAGCTTAGGAACAGCTGATGTTGGTCAAAACTCAAGCTTCTCACATCCAACCCACATCGTTTGCCATTACTGTTTTAAGCTGAATTAATACAGGGTGAGATGTATAGCGCTTTTGTAACTGACTAATATCATATAATGGTGACCATACGAGTAAAGGATTGTAGCATGTTATAATTGGTCTTCATTTATAGTTTCACTCTGTAAACTATTACTCGATTCATACTTTTGACTTGAAATGCCTTTATTAGTATGGTCGCCATTTCGTAAGAAAGTAGTAAGTAGTATTGTTTATGTTTACAACCATAGTTTCACCCGGATCAGTTTTTAACAAGTTATATTGTATAACAATATTTCATTCTGTGACCTGGTTTCTGTTAACATCGACAACTACTTCAGTTTCACTCTGTGATCTGTTGTTATGAAATTTTGAATAAAAATTTCCCCACATCCAGTGACACTGGGCCTTAGTGTCGGCGAAATTTAGTTTTTATTATTTTAGGGTTTTTTTATGATTTGTGCTTTATTGTTTGGTTTTATAACTAGGGTAAGAGTTATTGCTTATGATTATATAGTTTTATTTGGTTAAACGAGGTTTTAAATTACTGAAATAACAGGAAAAAAACCGTAAACAAAACACAAGTTCTACAGTGCACTGGACAGAACTCACAATAAAATTGGCTTCGGCTGTTCCATAGTGATGAGAAATCTACTAAGGGATAATCTTTTATCTATGGTTTCATTCTGAACAACAATAGCTTAATTTCACTCTGTTTACATCTTCAGCCACTTAGTTTCGTTCTGAGACTAGTCTGCAGTTTGTGAGAGCCAATTCAGTGTGATTTATGACAGTTGCTCTTCAATTTGCTCATCTCCTTTCAAATGCTTCTGTTGATAGTTGCCATTCATTTTGATGAGGACCATTGTGACTCAGGGGTGACTGGAGGAATGTTTCGAGGACTTTACGTCCTACATGAAATGAACTTCCATTGGGACTCGGAACACACTGTAAATGGAGACAGGTCAGTTTAGATACAATATAAAGTAACAATGTAAAGAATTTCATTACTTGCCTCAAAAGTGGCTATTTTCAGGCAAAAAACAAGCGCAGATATATAATATTGATATAATAATATATCGTTGTGTTAACTACTATAATTCTATGAAAAAATCACCTAAATTTGTTTCATTCAGTTGCAGCTTTAGTAGATTTTACTACTTTTATATAAGTTTTATAGTGATTTTATTTGTCACCAAGTGGCTTGCTGAGCGAGTCAGGAGGATGAGTGGAGTTCTGAAAATCCCTCAATCTGTTGGGTATTAGCTGTGAGTGAACAGGTCTTGACAAAATAAACCAATTCATCTATTACTATTGCTCTGGTAGGTTCCCTCTGGAGTTACATCTCGTCCATTACAACAGCAAGTACTCGAGTTTCAGTGAGGCAATATACTATCATCCACAAGACGCCCTAGCTGTTGTTGGGGTTTTGTTTGAGGTTTGTTTCTTCTTACCTATCGCTGATAGGTTATTATGTTAGCAAGTAGGCTGGGTAGCTGAGTGGTTAAGCGCTCGCCTAACAATCATAAGGTCGCCGGTTCGATCCTGAAAAAAGTCATTACCTATGTCATTGATGGTTTGAAACTGGACCCAGCTGCCTCTGATCATTGGGCTTCAAATAAATGATCCTGGCTGATAAAACAGCCAATTTTAGTCAGTAAAGCTACACAGATTATCACACAACATTCTACCCTTATTTTTGGGTTAGAATAGGCATAGGTGGTGTCCCCATCTTTTAATATTAATACGCATTAGTTTGAAACAAAATTTCTGGTTAAATGTATGCGTTGACAGAAAATCCAGTTAAACTCCATGTATCTCAGTTTTACACCAATGGCAGGAACGAAAAATTCACTGGCTTGCCCAGATATTTTAACACCCAATTATTTGTGTAGTTAATTTTTTTTATTGTGATAATCATTATAACAATAGTAGTTGGATAGTGGTATATTTCATCAGAAGGGCCCAAAGTAACTTCTTTTAAACACAGGCTTCAGTGTTTTTGTTTATCATAAAATTTATGACATTTATGAAAACATCATAATTTTTTTTAGTATATGTAGTAAGTAAAAATCTAATTAAATTTGTGTTTTTGATAGGGGTAAGAGTTCTGTAGCAGTAATTAACTGTTTGAGAAAAATTATGTATTTTAGGTTTCAAGTTCAGGTATAGTCACTTATTCAGGTTATTTATTTTTACTAGTGCACCTGTTGCTCGAATTTGAGAAATTGCAAAGTATTACAGGCGTTATTTCAAAAAAAATAACAGTCATAATTTCCGATGACTTAAGAGTCAAAATAATCTAATTAATCACTCCACTACAGTAATCGAAACTGAAAACAGACTCACTCTGAAAAAGAAACTCTCTTTGTGTATGATGTGTTTACTATAAACAGCTGGGGAGCGAGCTGGCGTAGTGGTTAGAGCGCAGTACTTTAGTCCCTGAGGTCCTTGGTTCGAACCCGCCAAGTCACCAATGGATTTTAACTTAGTGATAATGCCGCAACCCCTAGGTCTAGTCTGAAGTAATGTGAAAAACAATCCCAGGCTCGTGCCTAAGCGTCCTAGGAAAAAAATACCCCCGCCGCAGCAAACCTGCAGACTAAGCGAATTTCAACTCGTCTTATTACATTTTTGCTCAAATATTTCCATAAATAAGACATATTTTTATTCCCTATTTAAATAACATTAGATTTAACGAGTGCTTAGGTTTGCTGCTACGGGGAAGGTAAAAAGTGTTTTTTGACTATACGTCAATAGTATAGGATGAAATAAATAAATTTGCCAAATTTTATCAATATATATCCATAAACAAGTAAACTATAACAATTTTCATTTTCTCCATAAGAATAACACGGGAATTTTAAATTACACTATTTTTTAATTTTCTCCGTGACCGTTAGGCATACAACAGCGCTTCAATAGGGGTAGCGGATTTTTATCCCCCTAGAATTTTACCCCCTGGGCAAATGTGACGTCACAAACCAGGGGGTAAAATTCCGGCCGCGAACTTTTGAGTTTCGCGACATCAGCTCGATGGATTAAACGCGGAATTGAACATATATTTTCACGGTTGTGAATTTAATCAGAATACATCAAATTATAAAAACCTAGAGTGTACGGCCCGGAATTTTACCCCCCGGATTTTTACCCCCGGAATTTTACCCCCCGGATTTTTACCCCCGGAATTTTACCCCCGGATTTTTACCCCCGGAATTTTACCCCCCGGATTTTTACCCCTGGAATTTTACCCCCGGAATTTTACCCCCTGGCCAGATATATAAATTAGTGAGAATGATTAATTATCTTCATTCTGTTTTAATTTAATAGCAAACATTTTGTTATGAAGTAGCCTATATTAATTTATTTGTAACATTAACTAATCGAACAGGTTTTGAATTTTAATTTAGAGATTCTAGTATTAGCATTCGATCTTTGAAGCCAACAGTTGGTTAATATGAGGTATAAACAATCAACTGAGTGATAATTGTTTCAAACATTTCTTTACAACAACAACAATAAAAAATTAATAAAGATAGGCTACTAAATAATGAAATGTTTACAATTATATAAAAACATAAATAAGAAAATCAATCATTCAATTTCTAAAATCAGCCAGGGGGTAAAATTCCGGGGGGTAAAAATCCGGGGGTAAAATTCCGGGGGTAAAAATCCGGGGGTAAAAATCCGGCCCGTACATCTTCAGTTGTCTAAACGCTAGTTATATGGACAGGGGGTAAAATTCTGGTTTTTATCGCTAATCTAATTAATCACGCTCTGGCTATTTTCATTAGACTTCCAAATCCGCGGGGGTAAAATTCCGGCCGCAAACAAACTTTTGGCCACTCAGGTTACTACGTCATAGTGACGTCAGCTCTGCCCAGGGGGTAAAATTCCAGGGGGATAAAATTCCGGCGACCCCTTCAATATACTAAATTATTTCTTTTTTTAAGCTCTACGGTCTAAAAAGAAATTGCAAAATTTTTTATTTTTAGGGTCAAAAATGGGAAAACCCCATTTTTACCCCATAAAACCCCCTATAAACCCCCATTCCCATAGTCCGATCATGCTGGTTCGCGAACTCGTTTGAATAAACTTAGGTTTACACGTTCATACCAAATTTCATCGAAATCGGATAATTTTTGCTCGAGTTATCGCGCTAACGGACACATAAATAAATATATATATATATATATGAATTTGAACGATTAGTGTTTTTGGCCTCTGTGGACATCAAAATAAAAAAGTAAATCGGTCCCGCGCCCAGGTCTTACCATGAGACCTACGGTAATAGCTACTTCCCTATAGGGAAATTCGCTAAAAACGAACTGTTGTTTTAAGACAAATTATTCGCCTTTTTAAGTAAACAAAATTTTTCTTGATAAATTAGGATTTGGATGGCCTGTGGGGCAAAGCCCAAAGACTTTTATTAAAGGAATTGGTAAAAGGGGGCGTCTACGCAAAAACTACTTAATTTTGACACATCGTTAGTAAGAATCCGTCCATTATTAACAGAGGAGTAGTGTTTTGTAGAAATCGCCTTCACGTATTCCATATATAAGGATTTAATTATTTATGTATTACTAGCTGTAACCCGCGGGCTTTGCCCCGTTTAACTTCTTAATTTTCAAGATGATCTCGTTCGCATGGCTCAATCACATCCTGGTTGAAGTTCGTTCGCTATGCTAACTCACCTTTAGGTTGGAGCTCGTTCGCTGCGCTCACTTGCCTTCAGGTTAGCTCGTTCGCTACGCTAACTCGCCTCCAGGTTGAAGTTCGTTCGCTACGCTCACTCATCTTTTGGTTGCAAATTAGCTGTTGTCATAAATGTAAAAGAAATAATAGTGCTGCACCCTGTTGGTAATCCTTGTAACTTTGATGCTATTGAACATCATAGAACAGAACCAACTTGTTTAATTGAAACAGCTGTGAAGATTCATTAATGCCATTTCTCATAAGGTTAACATGGGACTCCAGAGCCACTGGGGCGGAGCCGATTGGACGGATTACGAAATTGATGGTGTATAAACCTATTCCATGAAATTCTACACGTATGTACCAAGTTTCGAGGAAATCGGTTCAGTGGTGTCTGAGTTTATCACTGCCAAACAAATATATATACTGTATATACAAACATCCTCTTTTATACTTATAGATCATTACGATCAATGTTTCACAGGTCATTTGTTTTAAAACTAAAATCTATTGTAACAATCAAACAACCAACATACCGAATACTTAAAAATAATCATACATTTGTTAGGAAATCTTCCAATGAATAAAAAGCCTTCTCCAGAAGTCATATCTTAAGTTTATGTTTTAAATTATCTCAAGTGCTTTTTAAAAATTTCTATATGCAATCAATTTCTTGAGTGCAGGGCCGAGTGCCAGTTGCCTAAAAATGTTGACGAGGGTCAGTTTGAGTGCAAACCAGGTATCAATGACCGGTTGGTTCTGAGGGGTTTGACAGTTTATAACCCCCACGGCAAAAGATAGAATGGCACTCTCTCCGCTTCCCCCATTTCTTTCATTGTTGAAGGCGCTTATTATAAATATTGGGTCCCATATATTATGGGGATGAATAAAATAAGTTTAGGTCTCGTTCAAGCTTCAAAAGTTCTGGTTTTTACCACCACTAGTTTCCATCTTGGTTTGCTATTGTAATATATCCTATTTTAGTATGCAGAAAATAGAGAATGAATAACTGAGAATTTTATATATAAAATTTTCCTCAAAGTTGAAGGACATAAACAATACTTAAAAAGAGTCTTGTTGCATTTTTAAATTTTGATTACTTTTTAGGAGTCAGAGAACGGAACAGAGGCATTGGATCCATTTCTAGAAGTAGTGAAAGGAATAGCTGGCCGAACTGGGTTGAAAGACCGTCTCCCTTCTCACTTCAACCCTTTAGACTTCCTGCCAGAGGTCAGGAGCAGCTTTTACAGGTATTCTGGGTCACTAACAACCCCACCTTGCGATGAGATTGTCACCTGGACCATCATGGAGACCAAAGTGCCCGTGTCTAAAGAACAGGTATTAATTAACCTTGAAAATTTTATTAGATGAATACTAACTTACATATTCTCCATATGGTCTTCATTTCAGAAATAGGTTGAAAAATGATGTATTAGTAGTAGAAAGAGGATTAATGGGAAAACATGCAAATTATTTGAAAGCAATCATTACTTCACCTGAGTAGTCTCAGGAAATATTTTCTGCAATGAATGGAAAAATATAAAAAATATATATATATATAAATAAACATAACCCCTTCTAAACCTCCTTTATGTACAAGGACTTACAGGAAGTTAGGAATGTTCTGTCTGACACCGCTAGATGCACGTCTCTTGTGTTGTGTGTAATTGGGTGAATCTTTTAGCTATGTGGTTGTTAGTGTATCCTATAAACATGCAGGTCACCAATGGCCAGTTTGATACTTTTTTTTTAAATAAGTAGTTTTTAGCTACTTCCGCTCTATATCCCTTAGATTCTTTGTTTGAAGTTCATTGTTGGTGATAGTGAGTTAATATTGTTCAAAGGTTTATTGCGGATTTTTTCCATCACGATGGTAAAAAACAATACACAACGTTTCGGGATCTGGAATCTGATCCCGTCCTCAGGTGAAAAAAACTTAACTTTAAGTTAAGTTTTAACTTAACTTTGGACATTAGTGTTTTGAACATAGTTTACCAGTTTTGTGATGACATTACTCTCTAAACTTGTGTCTCTAGGTATGTTTTGGTATTTTGCTTTAGTTGTAATGATACTTGAATGACTTGGCAGATGTATAGTGTTAGTGAAACTGTCTGAAATCCTACAACAAAATAGTAATAAACTATCTTAACAGTACTATACTACACTATAGTACTTAACAGTACTATTTTGTGCAATATTCTACAGATGGAGATTTTCAAGCTAGTCCACATTCCTGGACATGACAATAACTCAATGGACTTCAACTATCGCAGACTTCAAGACCTCAACAAGCGAGATGTCTACCTTCTGTCAGACAATGGAGCTGCTTCTATATCCTGTGCACTGAGCCTGATATTGTTCTTTGTGTGTGTGTGGTGTTTGTGTTGGGTGTGGTGTGTGTGTGGTAGTGCTTTTTTTCTGTGGTGTTGCTGTGTGTGTGTTCTGTTTGTGTGTTTAAATTGTGTGTGTCTGGGTGTCTGTGTCTTCTGTGTGTAGTGTGTGTGATCGTGTGCTGTGTGGCTCAGATGAAGACGCAAACATGTTGTTATAAAAAACAATCAAGTAGCAAAAGCCCCATATTCTGTAGGCATTCAAAGGTTCATTACTATTTCAGTGTGTTGTGAACTATAAATTTTCAATCCGTTTGTTTGATTTCAGAATGGTTTATTACCTGAATAGAAATAGTTTCCCAACTTTCGATTAAACTTTCATCACGTTCCTTTGTCTTTATTTTATGGATTAGATGTTTAACAATCAGTAAACAGTTATGTTATGAATACTAGCTTTTAAAAACAAATTTTTAATTAAAAATAAATTGTTAGCTAGCTATAAAAATTGGAGGTGAAAGGATATGTTCAAATTCAAACCATTGTGCCTTTAAAATAAACCTACCTGTCTCTTCTGCTGATTCAATACTAAAAATGTAGGGTTCTGTCTGTTAGATCCACGAATACTAGACTATTGAACATACGTTTTTGCAGTTCCATTTAACCAATGTTAAATAATGTTTATTTTTGGGCCAAAAACGTCATTTGTTGATGTTTATGATCCATACCGGGTATTTTTTTAGTAATCGTGTAGACTAGTATTCGTGGTTAGATCCATGAATTATCTAGACAAACACAGCTGTTGGTATTTTAACTACTAGTCCCCTGTCAAATGTACACATACAGGCTCCCGTGTGCTCCTTGAGGCAGGTGTGGAAGTAGTTTTAATCTCTTCGTTTGACCTTGGAGAAATACAATTTGGATGATGGCACTCTTGGAAATGGTGCGTTTGAACACTGTGGGTAAAAAACAAAATTGCCGCCGTCGCAAACTTGTTTTCTTACTTATATTAGTAACCGTTAGAGTTATGAAAGAATTGTTGATACCAAAATGTAGCTATTTTAAATCTGCACAAAAAAAATTATTACAGTTTTTAGGTAGGATCAACCATTCTTTCATAAAACATAATTTTATATTTTTCATAAATAAAATTTATCAGGGTGGATGTAATGTCCCAGGAGAGTTGAATATTTCAAAAAGTAATAAAGGGTGTTTCAGTAAAGCGTAGCGGGCTATGCAGATTCAGATTCTATGTGCAAAAATAAGTCGAAAATGTTGTATAACAATTTTTTAATTTCGGCTTAGTTTATCCGTAATCCGCCATTTTGTATTTTTTGAAAATAATTCATAACTCAAAAGCCCTTTGGAGATATTTTGATGAAACTTGGTATAAACTTTAAGTGTACAACTGTAAACATTCTCCAAAAAAATCTTTGATCAGGCACATCGAATTTCAAAATGGCGGCCATAAAATTTTTTTAAGTCAAATTCCATGAAAACCAGCAATTAAAGCAAAACTTAGAAACACAATATATATAGTCCTTTTTATTAAAAATCGAACGACACTTAATTTGCGAAAATCGGATGATAAATAAAAAAGTTAAGCAACTTTTACAATGTTTTTGTCACTAGTTTCTATGTAATTTAACTTTGTGATTTTAAAATGACTGCCATTTTGATAAATTTTTATAAAAGTTACATAACTTTTTTATTTATAATCCGATTTTCGCAAACAAAGTGTCATTCGATTTGTAATAAAAAGGACTTTAAATAATGTGTTGCAAAATTTTGTTTTTATAGCTGGTTTTCATGGAATTTGACTTTAAACATTTAAAATGGCGGCCATTTTGTTTTTTACCCACAGCGTTCAAACGCACCATTTCCAAGAGTGCCACCATCGAAATTGTATTTCTCTAAGGTCAAACGAAGAGATTAAGACTACTCCCACATCTGCCTCATCAAGGAGCACACGGGTGTACATTTGACAGTGGACTATACAGTAACTAAAAAGACAATATTTCAACATTATTGCTCTTCACATGTTTTTTTTATATTTTGAAAACCAACCAAAGATAGGTATAGTGTAAGGATCAAATTTTGTAATACAAGATTAGTTAACTATCATTCCAGATGAATTGTGCTCTACTTAACTGAAGCACAGACGTCAGTTACCGTTTTTATAGTTTAGACTTTCTGGCTTTTAGGATTTGGACTTTCATTGTGAACTACATTTTATAATTTTAGTTTAAGACGATTTATTTAACGTTTTTTTGTTCGTGTAAATAGTTATTGATACAAAGACCAAATGTACAAAATCGTTTTATAAATTAACTACAGTAATAGTCATTTGAATGAGTCATTATGATATAAGTCAAGTGATACTGAAATATAAATTGTCTAGTCAATAGAACAAGCAGCACGATAGCTGCTCTAGTCTAATATTCCTGTATTTATAAAATTGAATAGTTTTTAATTAATACATATTTCAAAGACTTGCTTACAATTCAGTTTTTACCCTGTACAAACTGAAAATATATTTAGGCTAATGAATTTTGGTTTCTTTTGAAGGGTAATAATACAAAATTAAAAGGCTCAATTAAAAAAACAATTTATTGAACATAACATAGGAAAATTAAGATGATTTTACCTTACCGGTAGTTAGACTACTTAAAAATGAAATCCTCAAATAACTATAACTTAACAAGGGTTAACAAACAAATATTACAAAATTACTTGCAACAATTTGTCTTTGTTTGTGTGCATCAATCTTGAGACAGTGTGCTTCATTTTGTAAGATTAAGAAAAGTTAACAAAATTAAACCAAATTATTTTTCACCACACTATGGTCACTATGATGTGTTTAGCTTTTTTACATAGGCTACTTTTAATTGGTGGCTGAAAGTTATACGTTTTGCTGGCCATGCCAGCTGTCATCGTAATTTTTGGGACCGGGCAGGTTTTTACATCCCTATAGGGCAGCAAAATTAACTGTTCGCTTAATTACTTAAAACAATAATGTATATTAAATATACAAGCTGTATTCAGCACTGCAATAGCCTTTTTTTGTCACCATTCAATTCAATTCAATTCAAATATCTTTATTCATTTTTATGTACATTGTACAATAAATAGTGTCAAAATAATTACAATAAATAGTGTTAAAATAATTCAACAGGATAAAAACAGCCTAGCAACTGTTTATTATTATTTTTGCTCAAATTATTTCTTAACTACTATTTAATACAACAGAAAAATAAATGTATACTTTGACATATTATCGTTGGTAGTTTTTTATAAATTAAGTATAAAATAGTTGTCTTAGAAGTTCATACATCTAAATCTACTACAGATCATTGGTACAACAATAAATAATGTTGAATATGAAACAGCTGGTAGTACGGCACACAGATCATCTCACTTCATTCTACACTCACCCTTTATTCTCATTCACCTTAAAATAAGCACCCAAGTACATAATATGGATTGCTGTCTTAAAAAATTAAATTTTTGAAAAACTCCCAGGTTTTTGATGGTTCACAAGTGGTTTGTACTGTCCTTCGATCTTAGGTTTGTATAAATGTTCTTGGCTAAAGGAATAGTTTACCCAAAGCCTCGTTCTCATGGCGCAAGTTAGGGCAAAACCCAGATCTCCTAGATCAGTCAACGGATCAGAGAATTTGCGAACCTGACTGTTCTCACGGTGGAGGTGGCTTGTATATTTCAAAAGCTACTGACGGGCTCAAACAGAAAGGCCAAGCCATAATAAATAAACAATACTTTACCTCAACTTCAGTTCCTTTAGTACCTCTGAGTGTTTATACTATATGCAAGAAGAACCACTTTTTGTATGAACACTATTTGGGCTCGTACACTATAAATGTTGCACCTCCAGTACTAGTTTTCTTCACCTTCTAAGAAAGTTTCCTTTAGGTCACCATTAGGGTTTTCTCTTTTCTTTTTTAAACATTTTAGACAAGATTCAATGCTGAAACACGGTTGGATGCATTTTCATGCATCGTACACTTTGTTTCTGTCTTTATGGTCTTTGTGTAGTGGATTCCAAATTGCAGGTTCCAGTTCATATAACTCCAAAAACTCTATCTTGGCTTCATTACTTTCACTCAGTTTTTATTCCCGTACACTTCAACCAAACAATTTTATCAAATGCATTCCTAGGGCTCGGTTCAAAAACTGAACAGGTAAGAACAGTGCACCGAGCCAGCCCGGAACCCAGCAAACCACAGGTCTTTGATGTTTCATGAGTTTACAGACTGCGGGTGCGAGAACGTTTCTGCCCTTAATGGACCACCTCCACTGACAAGCTGTTCTCACAACCCATATCAATATGGTCCACTACTCAGGTCACAAGGAGTCTTTACAAACCACGTATCAAGAGAACGAGGCTAAGTCAATAACAAAGCTAAAACGAGCACCTCACAGAATCATACAGTCATCTTGCTTTCATTTATAGCTTAAAATAAGCTTAGATGGCAATGTCTCAAAGTAATGCAATTGATAGTAATAGGGATAAACTAGTAATGGGGATAGACATAAACCACTTTTTTTTTATTCTACAAGCCAAACTGTTAAATTTATATTTGGTTTCTAAGCAGAGGGGAGTGTAACCATTGACAAAGGAGTATCGTAAGTGCTTAGTCTGTGGCGTCGCTAAAAATATTCATTGACTGAATGAATACAACCAAGGAAAGTACAAGAAGTCGAGAAATAAATATTCAACATTTATTTTACAATAAATACATACAAAAGCACGATTTATAAAATTAACTTACATCTAATATTCTAAAAATTTTAACAATTAAGATAGAGGTTTCAGAGATAAGTATTATATACACATTTCAATAAATTTTAATAAACTTGTGAACATTTTCTCTACAACTACAGCTCACTATTTACAAATATTTCTTTATCAGTCGTTGTTTTAAATAATTGTTAGTTCTCTATTCTCATCTGGACAAGCGGTAGAGTGCGACCTTATTAAGATTTGCATCAGCTTTACTTTGTTTCAATAACCTCAAAGTATGGCCAAGGCATTCCTTAAATGTGAATTTCTTTCCAATTTATACACCAGCGGTATTTTCTACCACCAAAGAAAAACTTGTTAATTTTGCAGAAAAATAGCTTCAAAACTTTTACACTCAGGGTTTTTTAAACACAATATGAATATCTTAAGACTATGATCACTAACGTAACATTTAAGGTAATATATACATTAAAAACAGCGCAAATAGAGTTTATAAAATTAGAGAAAAAGCTTATAACAGTCAACACAAAATGAACTATAGAATCTTGCTTTGGCATCAACTATAAAAATCTAACTAATGTTATATTCAAAGTGTTTGTTAATGAATAAATTAATCATTAGACAGTAGAATTGTTAAACTAATATGTCACATAACATCATTGAACATTCAGAGTTACTTGTGATGTTCTTTATATCATAAAATCTACAAATATCAAAACGTATTGCTATTGATTAGGAGTAACCTTAAAAAGAAAATATTAACAATAATAATCTGTAATTCAAAATTTATGTAAAAGTTAGAACTTTATTTGTAAAAGTTAATATCAAATTTGATCTTACTTGCACCCAGTGGTATAAACGTTAACCATAATGATAGTGTGTACAGCAAAAACAAATATAGTTTTTTGGTAAGTTTTCTTGTAAGTACAATATATCCATATCGGTAAAATATTTTGACGCAAAAAAAAGGTGGTAACAAATCTGTGTTTTTACAAAATATATTTAAGTATTATACTTATTGAATGGGTGCATAATTTTAAAGATCCAGGACACTTTGTAAGCAAAATTAATGAATTGAGCAACAATTTTTTTGTTTGTTTTTAAAATGTCGAAAATTACTATTTTTAACACGAATAAAATTCTTATATGGCTTCATCTTCTCAAACCTTATAAATAAAATTTATAGTTTATTCCAATTTGTAGAATATAAAATTTATTTAAAAAAAAATACTGTTTCCGCTCTTAGCTTTTTTTATGAATGACCTATAATTTTTAACCCTTTGCTCTTGTCTCTGCGGCTTGCATTACAAGTTTCAGCTCAGCAGCAATCATAGCAGCTTCTTCCCACTAGCTTGGAATTCAATTTCAAAGCTGCACATATAACACATATTACCGCTCAGACATGACACACATTATAACAAACAAAGTTTTGTTTGTTGTTTATTGACAAAAAATTTAACTTTTGTCAATGTTGCTTACCTTCAAAGTGTAAGCAAGTTTTAATACTAGTCATCCAAGTGGCAGTGACAACTAAGGTGAACTTTACTGCAGTTTCTGCACAAAAGCCATGAAACTGACCACTTTCCTCCTGATTTAGACATCATAAACAGTATTGCCAATCGCAAAGGGTTAGAGTCACAATGTTTGAAATTGAAGACTTAAGACAACAGTTTCTAGTAGCGAGCCTTGTGTGGAGATCGCGCGTGCTGGTGCCCCCTCCACTCTCCCTGGTGGTGGTGATGGTGGTGGTGTCGCTTCTTCTCTGTCGTCTCTCTGCGCTGCTGCGGGTAAACGTCACTCACTACCAACTCACTGCCATCCCTCACCCCCTCGCGGTCCAGTGTCTCCTTGCGCCGTAGGGGAGGGTGGTTGGCCACCTTACTGCTCGCTGATTGGTGGAGATTCTCCCATGCTTGGCGGTAGTAGCGATTCAACCCTCCGCGGGACTCAGAGCTCGACGAGTCGAAACTTGCGACAGTGTTGCAGTCAGGTGATGCTCGGTGGCGGTAGTGTTTGGCACTTCGATTCCTGCAAATTGAAATAGTCAAGTTAAATATTTGTAGTAATTTGTTTTATAATATAAATGGTTATAATGTTATTAATGAATTTAGGAGCAGAAACAGAAAAAAAATTCATGACAATTTATAGATTCTCCAAATATTTTTAAGACTGAAGACAAATACTTTACGATAAATCCAATGTTCTACATTGTTAGTTTGGATTGTATTTTTTGTGTCAAAAAGTTACTTATCATCTATGGACATTTATTTGCCAATATCCTGTATAAGAAAATGTTGTAATTCGATAAATAATTTTTTTTAGCTGCATGAATACCTGAATCCCCATTTACTGAAAGAAAATAGATAATTTTAGCCAATGAATTACACAATAAAAATACAACATAAGATGAAGGGAGCTACAGTCATGCACAATCTACCAATGAGCCATCAACTGGAATGAAATAAGTTAATAGCATACTGTTACCAGCAAATATCATAAAAAATACAAACTTTGTAACATTTGAGGATAACAATTAATTATTGTTTTTTAAATAATTTTTATTGTATATTTAGAAGATTGGTTTTGCACTTTAAACATCAGTTTTAGAACGCCCATATTTACATTTTGATAGGGTTTTTTGTATTTGACGTTAAGATATTGAATTAGTGGAATTTTATGCGCTAATATTGTTTTGGTATTTTATTTTTATTTCTTCACTACAAGTGTTCAATTTAAAGTAAACAGTTAATATGTGTGCATTTTTTATACATAATGCATTGCAGAATTTAAAAATAGGTATTATGCATGCAAAAGTGAGGTATTTAGAATACAGTACCAAGTAAAACTGTTTACAGCATTCAGTATAAGGTATAAGGTTGCCAATAATGTGAAAAGTGAGGTGCAATCTAACTACAAGGAATATTAAGAAAGTTTTAAGAAGATAACAAGTTAAAAACACTTTGAATAAAGCACCACAACCATGCACAGTTACAATGAAAAGAACAATTAAATGCATATCAACACTTTTGCTCATTCAAGATTGAAGGCTATAAAAGATGTGGTATCATTATTTTCAAATATAAGAAGTATATTTTGACCCATTTGGAAGCCTTTATTTCCTTGTATACACATTTTTATTTGATTCAATTTTCTTTAGGTCGCAATGTTGTTATAATTCTGTTGAGCATTGAAATATATTAACTGGTTAATATGCTTGGACAAATTTGAAAGGTTACATGGATGTATACTTGGATCTTAAAATATATTAGACTATTCAATATTTACTTAAAGTTTTGTACTGTTATACAGTTTGTTTTTGTCACTAGGACGTATCTAAATCTTTTAGCACTTTGGTTCTCTGTCCTTGTCTATTGTTTCCTAATAACCCTGGAACCATTGCTTATTTCAAGTAAAAATAAATGAGAGCCTAAACCAGACTCACTGATGCATCGTAGGAAATAAATAAAATTAACGAATTAGAGGTAAATCTAACAGTCCCGTTTCCAATACATTCAATAAGAGTCCTTTTACACTTACAATAACAAACTTGACCAAATTATACATCCAAACAACAAATTGCAAAATTATGAAAGCTTATTTATACAGTCTCAACCTCAACATTTGCGAGTCTACGAGTGTGCATCCATTTGTACAGTGGGTCAACTCAGTGAAACTGTACCTTGTACTTTGTACTAAGTTCACGACATTTAAGTCGGGTGGATCACACTGGATCAGATCGGGTTAGAGAAATATCCTGCCCGACTTCGATATGCTCGGGAGAACTCCCGTCTCCCAACTTGCTGGTCAGGGAAGGGCAAAGCGAGCAGAGTGTACCAACGCGAGGGCATGGCTCGGGCAGGGGGAAGCTTGTGTTTTGCATCCCTCCCACTGCAACCAACCACACACACCCACAACCAATCAGCGTTAGTCAGGTTAGGTTAGGTTAACATAGAAGCGGAAAAGACTTGCGATATTAGTGTGAAACCTCATAGGTTATGATATTGGTTTAAAAGTCTGTATATGGACTAAGGAAGGTTACAATTACCAACAAAACTGTTCAGTTATTCGTTTTGTTCGGGGCTAGGTTAGGTGTTATCATTGAGAAAGTCCTCTACATAATTTTATAGGTTATAATGTTTATTTAAAAATCAGTTTTCTGACCAAGAAAATTGACATTTAAAAACACATCAGTTACCTAGTTTAGTTTAGTTTTGGTTATCTTAGAAGCAGAGAAGTACTGAGATATTATTGTGAGACTTTATAGGTCTAGATCGGTGATAAGTATATATTGGTTTAGAAATTAGAGATCTGACCAAGGTTCATGGAATTTACAACTGAAAAAATACAACTAAATACTTTGCTTGGGTTGTGTGAGTTAGCTTATTGAGTGAAAATAAGAGTTTAAGTGAGTAATGGTGAAAGAAATTCTTTTGTGTTAAGGTATTTTGTTTGGCTGAAGCTACAAATGAAAATGATATCCTTAATTACGTAAATTCACCAGCAACAACAACAAACTAGGCTATAAACGTTTGATGAACTGAAGAAACTGTGGATTTATATTACACATTGCATTAGATTACATAAGAATAATTCAATAAAAGTTTTATTTTTTACCAGGATAAACATTTTATAATCTTTGACCTCATTCTTTCTACTCTATAAAGAAAAGTAAAGTGACATGTGAAATATCAGAAAGCATGCATTGAAGAGAATGAATTATAGAAGATTTGCACAGAGCATGCAAAATGAAGATAAAAACTAATCACCAAAGTAAAGCTGAGAGAGGAAAGAGTGCAATGTGTTGTGTGCAGAGCAGAAAGGTTTCAGATGTATTTGACCAAATTTGTAATTGTTTAGCAATAACTGTTTTTAAACGCAACTGCTTGAGATACCTTCTTTAAATCACTTGTTTTTTATACAGGGCAGGGGGTTCAAAAAAGGTGGGGACATAATTTACGTAGTTATTCCTTGGGTCAAAGAGAAAATCAAGAATAACATTTTTTCTAAAATCACTTTGTTAACCAGATATCCGTCATTTTGTATTTACATAAACATTTGTATGTTTGAATTTTTACAACCAATCTTTATGAAACTTTGGTATGTAGCCTATGTTAAGGTATAAGAGACCAATTTAAAAAAATCTTGATTCAACTTAAAGTTTCAAAATGGACTTAATTTTAATTTTTCAAACTTAAATTACTAAAAAATGCCAAGTAAAAGTGTTCTTGTTCTAGACATCTTTTCATAAAATCAGCCAACTTTTAGTAATTTAAGATTAAAAAATTACAATGGCCGCCCTTTTGAAATTTTAAGTTGAATCAAGATGAATTTTATTCCAGCATTGGTGTCTTCTACCTCAACATACATACCAAGTTTCATAAAGATTGGTTGACAAAATTTAAAGATAGAAATGTTAATGTAAAAATACATAATGGCAGTTATCTATGGTTATTGAAGCGATTTTGGAAAACGATTATTCTTGATTTTCTCTTTATTTTTACCCAAAGAATCACTATGTAAATTATGTCCCCATTTTTTTGAACACCCAGATATTATTTTTGTACCGTGTGTATTTATTATATTCAGACAGTAGTAACCTGAAATAAATTTGTTTTGGCTTTGTAAGGCGTACTTCCAAATAGTTAAAAATTGTATTATCAAAAATTATTACACAGTTTATAACTTACAAAGAATCCCTGGTGGGAGTACAGAGGCGCCTGCCCCTTACACTCCAAAATGGATGGATACAGCAAAAAAATTGTAGAATAAAATTAATATGAATGATTTGATTATTTTTTGACACAATTAAATGTAGGGACTAACCTTAAAGTTAAAGGTTTTCATCCTTTTTTTTGTAATAGTATTGGTAACTGTTGAGCCTTGTATCAAACATAACTGTTGAGCCTTGTATCAAACATAACTGTTGAACTAGCTCTTTGTGATAGTACAATTTCTATGCTTTCCCCATCTTTCCTCTTATTCACTTTTTGTTTACTTAACATTTTCATACAATCTAATAGAGTTCATGGATGATGATATTTTAATACGATATGAAACTTTACAATGTACCTTTTAAAAACTTTTTAATTAAATTTGTATGACTAAACACCTGTTTATTTTTTATGCGCTTGTAAATTGGAACAAATTGTATTAAATTGTATGTTTGTTTGATTGTGATAAAAAATAAAATTAATATTTATTACCTCCTGATTAGAATTACAACTGTGGTGACCACTGCTGCTAGGAACACAAACGCTCCGAATACTCCAAGAGCGATGATGGCACCTGCAAACATTACAAAAAATAAGTTACTAAACCTAAATCTTAAAGAACTCCTGGAAGCATTTTCTGAATCCCAAACGAATGCTTGGCTAGCGGGATGCAGAGTTGATCAATAGTCAATAGTCAATAGTAGCAGTCAATGGATAGTAGTCAAACATAGTAGTCAATAGATCTGGTGCTTGCATGGTAATCAATTTAGAAAGAAAGTGTGATCCTGAGAAATCTTAAGAGATTTGATATTTTGAAACTAGACCCATACCTGATCATTGGATTTGTAATGAATGACACCGGCTACAGAACAAGCTAGCTGATCTAAGTAACAAACAAAGCTTTCCACTTAAATCTTCCCCTTAAAAATGTGTATAGCAAAATTAATTCATAGCCCTATGACAAATGGCACCTGGGTCTGAAAAACCATCTTGCTTTGTTACTTAAAACCTAACAGTATACTTCCTGACCTCAGACCCTCGGTTTGCATGTGATACGCAATGCGCCAAAGAGATAACTACACCCCTCTCTACCTACATTGTGTAGCAATTTTTATTTTCCTTGCACCCCCAAAAAACCTAAAACCTCTTGCGCCCCTGGATTTTTTGGGTTTTAATTTAGATTGTTAGTAGATTTCAAACACTTCTTTAGTGAATTTGAATGTAATAAGCAGAATTTTTAACTGGCAAACATTTGGACTTGGACAAGCTTAATGGGGGATATAACACATCAACAGTATACCAAAGTGACACATACCAAGGTTCAGCTTAGCTCCGAGAGTCTCTCGCCTGTCGTCTGTAGAGTGAGTTGGCAGATCGGCTCCGTTGTGTAGCAGATTGTTGTGAACATGGACGGAGTCTGGGATCTCGTTGTCCTGGGGATGAGCGGAAGCCACGACAATCTGAGGCACTCGTCCGGACTCGCTCTGCTTGCTGTCCTCTGCCTCATTGTCCTCATCAGCTGGAGTGGTGGGAGGTGTGGTGGGGCGAGGGGAGAACGGCCGGGGACGCTCACGTGTGGGTGGTAGGCGAGTCGTCGTCTGAGGCTTGGGCGCTGTCACTAGTGGCACGACAGGTGTCTGCTTCACTTCTAAAAATGGTTTTAGTGTTAATATGCCATGAAGTTACCTTCATTGTGGTCTTGTTATGGTCTTAAAGGATTTTTTTAGAATACTGGAATAGATACAGGAAACTTTATATAATTTTACTACAAACGCCACTAATGCCAGGGAAAAGTGCTGCACTATGAAGAATGGTACTCTAATCTTTTTGAACATAGGAATTGTCTTAGTTAAAAGAGTCAAAATTAGCCATCAAAACACGATTTAAATAATAAACGCTGTAAGTCATTTTACTGTTGCAATTTAGAAGACATTTTAAGTCTTTCTTTATATGCATGGTCAAAAATATGTACACACATTTTTTATAGGCCTATATATATTATTTTTACAGTTACGGTATTAAGCAACAAAACATTAAATGGATACCCAAGAAAAACTTAGGCACCCACTATTCATGCTTTCAGTAATTACTAAATGTTAGTCAATGATAAGGATTTAGCATTAGATTGGTTAATGTAAGATTAGAGTTATGAATTTTTGGTTAGTAAGTTAGTAAGCTCATGATTTATTAAAATTACTGCCCAATTGATGGCAACTGATTGAAATAGTTTAAATGATTTAATCTAAGAGGAGTTCCAAAAACTAAATACCACTCTTTTTGAAACTTTATTAATACATATTAAATCGTGATTTTAATCAATGCAAACAGTCTACTTCCTGAAACTGATAAACGCTCATACAGTACTTAACATAGACTATTATTTGTTCAATTTTAGGTTTTCAAAATATCCTGCCACAAGGATGGAGAGAGATCATATAGGATGAGCAAACTCTGAATAACAGGGATGAAATTGAAGAACAGTTGACAGCAGCAGAGAAGAGGAAGAATTAGAAATCTTGAACAGTGCTTTCAGTTTACCTTTGCATTCGGGAGCAGGTTTGTCATATTGGCCCGAAGGCAGACAAATAATTTGTTTAGCCCCAACTAGCCGATACTTGCGAGAAATGCAGGTGTATTCAACAACTGTCCCAACAACTGTTACATTGCTGTCTATGAAAACTTCCCCGTTCTCTATTTCAGGTGGATCACTGCATTTGATTGCTGTAAATCGATTACATTGATTCATTTAAGGGGTTTTTAAATCCAAAAATTACAGAATGTACTTTGTATAGCTCCATACTCCTTTATAAGTTATGCTAACAAAGTAAGGAAGTATTTGTAACACTTTATCTAAATTAAAAATGAAATTGGTTCCTATATTAATGTATCCAGGTACTGTACGGTATTTTTATGTTTACATTTGTATTGAAGTTAAAAGTTTAATAGATTAATGACACAAATGCTAACACAGAGATAAAATTGCTAGTTGACAATATTCAGCCAAGTTCAGATTTGGTGCAAGTTCAAATAGTTCGGAAACTGAGAAGGGCAGAAATATTATATTGTCTATAATTCATTGTGCTAGGAATCGAGAAAATAGTGTGATTTGAAAGATTAACTGTGCCTTGAAGGCAAACATGTCTCTTATTCTTTTTTGTGTGTTTTTTTTATGGATCTATGTGAATGAATAATAAGGAAAAGCTCTCTTGGAACAATGATAAGGAGCAGACACCTTCCTCAGGAGGTGCTGCAGTTCATCAAGCAACTCAGGGTTGACGGGCTCTGGTGTACCAAATGAGGAGCACAAAAAACCCATCTGTGGCTGACGTACACCGATTCAATCAATAAACCAATCAAGTGAATAGAAAAATGTTTATGTTGTTTGTAAGGGAACAATATAAACTCTTAAACCCTGGTATACTATCCTATGTCAACCTTTGTTAAAAAGCATAATTAATTAATTGGTAGTCCAATGACAATAATGTCATCTAGATCTAGATCCAAGATCCATCGTGCTTGGGATTGAACCAGCGACATACAAATTTGAAGGCTACAACTACATGGCTACCCAGATAATTTGTTACAAAAGATAATATATCCACACTATCTATTTCCAACTCCATTGCTGCTGACATTCACAAACCTTTTAAACCATTTTGTAGTTAAGTTTTACTTTAGATGTGTTAAGACTTTTCTCCTAAAACAAAACCTAAGTTAATGTATCAAGTTCTCATTCAAGGTTATGCCCATAACATGTTATCGAATTGCGGTTAGCACAGCAAGATACTTACGTTGACACCTGGGAGGTGGGCCGTCCCATCTCTCGTCTAAGTCACACGTCAGCTGAGCACGGCCCAGCAGCTTGTACCCTTCCTCACAGCTGTATAGCACCTGACTCATGTAGCCTACACTGTCATTCAACAGTTGGTAGTCTCCATTGGCTATGTCCGCAGGGTAGCCGCATTGCACTCCTACAAGATTTTTTAATTTGGTAAGTATACCGTATATTATATCATTTTGTATAAGAGGCAGACGTAACTATGTGTGTTCCAACTAAACTGTTTTATGTGTTCCTTGAACACATAAAATTTATTCAGGTATACGTAAACCTGCATACCTACTCATAGAATCATTGTATATTGTTTGTAAATGGTAAACTTAAGTAGGTATACAACTCCTTTCACCTCAAACCTATTTGAGGATTAAATCAATAAAACACCTAGTAATTTGCTAACTTGGAGTATTTGTCTAGCAATTTCTTCTCAACTTACGTTTGCAGACTGGGGGGAACTCGTTGTAGAAGCCGGTGGGGAGACAAACTCGAGAGCTCGGCCCGACCAGTAGATGCCCCTCGTCACAACTGTACTCGATTGTGGCTCCAACATTGAAGTTCTTGGCGACCATCGTGGAGTTGGGAGGTTGCTCTGGTTTACCACAAGCCTTTGGTTCTGTGGAAAAGATGGGAGATAAAAAAGTGTTTACAAATTTTAAAAACTTGAAACAGATTCCCATAATAAATCAAATTAAACGGGTGTCTGTTGATTTAATTGTTTTTCAGTATCGGTACTTAAAACTATACTTTGTAGTTTGTGATAATATAAATTAAATTTTGAAACTAAAGCACGTTATAGAAACTCCTCTTTTTGAGTTTTTTGGACACTGGATGACTTTCTTCGTCCTGACATCTTCATCAGTTACTAAGCATAATTTATGGTGATAGTCTAGGTAGAGTCTGAAAATGTTGATTTTCAGTAATGGTTGATTAAGTCTCATCTTTAATGACTATTAGCACAAAACATGTTAACTCATGTTTTAAAAATTTCAAAATCCATGTACCTATATTTAAAGTATTGAACCTTTCGTTTTTTCTATGGGGTCTATTTTAAAGGGAACAGCCCAATCCCTATTCTAGTTATTTTTAACATCACACTTTGGTAGGTAATTTAATACTTTACTTTGAAATGACGAACAAACAAATGTAGGTATTTAAGCCAGATATGAATAGAGATTACTGTAGGTTGAGTAGAATTATTAATTTGATCCAGAGACAAATTCCGTTTGTCTCCATAATTGATTCCCATTCATGATCAAATAAAATCAAATTTAAAAGCTAGCACTATAAACACTTGATTGATAACCCCCAAAAATAAGTTAAATTTGACTGTTCAAGAATGACATCTCACCGAATTCCACGCTCAACCTACGTTAAAACACATGCACAAAGTAGCCTAGATCCCTATCTTAATAAAAGTGATCAGAGGATAAAGCGTTATAGTTGGTGGTTTACGTCTTGGATTTGGTGAGGAATATCTATAAAAAAGATTACTTACTCTTTAAATTGTTTGTAATTCATGTATTGAAAATGTAACTAGCATGAACATGAAAAAGTGCAATCAAGACTGACTTCACGCATTACAATATTATGTACTGTATACTGACGGTGTTGGCAGATGTAGTTGATCTTGACGTTACAGTTGGTGTCGCTCCACAGCCACCCCTTGGCTCCGTCGTACCTCGCACAGTCCTCGTCTCCACCGGGCAGTGACCAGAAGCTGACAGTGACATCGTCTCCACCGAGCCACTTCCAGTTGTTGCGGTCTTGTGGATCTCTCACGGCTCCCATCCAGTACTGGCTGCTGGTGTCACTCCTGCCAATTTAAACAATTAATTTATTTGATATTCATGTCAATGGGGAGAATATCAAGATGATAATGGTTAAACAACACAGAAGTTCTTATAGGTTTTTGATTTTGGTAATTAGTTTTGGTTTAGAGGATGGTGGTTAATTTATTGAAATAAATGAGTTTTATAATTTTTTGGCTTGAGTAAAATTTCAGTTATAGCTCTCAGCGGTTTTTTGGGTAGGAGGCTGCACACAATAAACTCAAGGACTCGTGAAAAGCCTGCTGGTAATTCTTTGAGTCACTCCTGAGTCCTGATTGTATGTAGCTTTCATGTTGGTGTAGCAAATTAATTACTAATCCAATGCCCTGTTACACCACCTATACAGGAGGTCTCCCTTATCCCATAGTAATTATTAGAACTGATTGACAGTATCCCTACCTGTGTCGCCTCCACAGTTCCCAACTGATAAAGCCTTGTAGAGCTGGGTTACTCTCGTCCACCAAAGACCCGCCTCGGCTGCGGCAGAATGCCAATGCCTCCCGTAGGTTCAGGGGCTGGCGGTTGTAGAAGATATAGCACTTGCCATTATAGGTAGCAGTGCTGCCTGGTGGCTGGTCTCTGAACTGCGGACATCTCTCAATGGGAAGCGCCTACAATAGCAAAATGATAGATAAATGATGTGATTGAGAAAAATTAACTGATTAGTCCCTGAAGGTTTTTCTTGATTCAACACTTTTGTTAATGTGAGGTTGCAAAATCAACTGAATTTCAAATATTTGTTATACATTTGGGGTGTACTAATGATGGCACTAATAAAACAAAATTACAACCACCCAAAAGTTAACTAGCATCAAGAATTTATTTTATCCTCCCTCAGTATGAAAGCAATGGCATTAGTGGTCAACCTGTACTATTCTTTTTCTTGGTATTTGATAATAACTAGGTGGCGTTCGCAGAGGCATCCACAAAATTGAGCGGAGTCATCAAGGGTTCATATTATATTGTTTTTGTCATACTGCAGTAAAAACAGTAGTTTTTAATGCATGCGTTGCGGGTCTAAAGTAGCATTTTTATTCTCTAGGGAGTAAAAATAGTTTTTAGCCTCTATGGAGTAAAAATCAGTTGTTGCCAACTCAGTTGTAAATTTCGATTGTAAACTATTGCATGTATCGAAAATATGTATCGATTCGTGCTTCGTAATCATTTTAACCTACACAGTCTACAGTCTCTTCCCATAGAATTTTAGTATTGCAGATACATTAATAAATTCCCACACTCAACATTGCTCACCTTTACTACTTCCTTCACGACCCCCTACGTCATGGACCTGTTTCCCTCTCTTCTCATTGCATTTTAGGATTGCAGATACATTAATGTAATTGCCAAAGACATTTCCCACACTCTGCACAGGTAGCCTTACTAATTGCTTCACGATTTCCTACGTCATAGACCTGTATCCTTCCCTTCTCGTAACATTTAAGATTACAGATACATTTATCTAACTGCCCACACGGTTCCCCCACTCTGCACTGCCAGCCTTTAATACTTCCTTCACCACGTCCTCCGTCGAGGGGCTTATTTCCTTGCCTTCTCATTGCATTTTAGGATTGAAGATACATTAATCTAACTGTCACAGACGATTCTCACACTATGCTCATACTTTACGTTTTCCTAAGCCACTTTCCTACGTCGTGGACCTGTTTTCATCACTTTCCATATCATTTTAGTATTTTAGATACGTTAATCTAATTGCCACAAACATTCCCCACACTCTGCACTGCTAGCCTTTACTACTTCTTTCACCATTTTCTATGTCGTTGGGATGCTTCCATCCCTTCTCATGGCATTTCAGCTTTGCAGATACATTAATATAACTGCTACAAACGGTTTCTAGTTCCCACACTCCACACTGCTCACCTTACTACTTCATTCACCTCTTCCTACGTCGCGGACCTGTTTTCCTCCGTTCCCATAGCATTTTAGGATTGCAGATCTCTTAATCTACCCGTCATAAACAGTTCCCACACTCCGGACAGCTCGCCTTTACTACTTCCTTCACCACTTCCTACGTCACGGACTTGTTTCCCTCCCTTCCCATAGCATTTTAGGATTGCAGATACCTTAATCTAATCGTCATAAACAGTTCCCACGGTCCGAGATGCTTGCCTTTACTACTTCCTTCACCACTTCCTACGTCACGGACCTGTTTCCCTCCCTTCCCACAGAATTTTAGGATTGCAGATACCTTAATCTAATCGTCATAAACAGTTCCCACACTCCGGACAGCTCGCCCTGACTACTTCCTTCACCACTTCCTACGTCGCGGACCTGTTTCCCTCCCTTCCCATAGCATTTTAGGATTGCAGATACCTTAATCTAATCGTCATAAACAGTTCCCACGGTCCGAGATGCTTGCCTTTACTACTTCCTTCACCACTTCCTACGTCACGGACCTGTTTCCCTCCCTTCCCATAGCATCATATGATTGCAAATACCTTAATCTAATGGTAATAAACAGATCCCACGCCCCGAACAGCTCGCGTTTACTACTTCCTTCACCACTTCCCACGTCGTGGACCTGTTTTCCTCCCTTCCCATAGCATTTTAGGATTGTAGATACCTTAATCTAATCGTCATAAACAGTTCCCACACTCCGGACAGCTCGCCTTGACTACTTTCTTTACCACTTCCTACGACGTGGACCTGTTTTCCTCCCTTCCCATAGCATTTTAGGATTGTAGATACCTTAATCTAATCGTCATAAACAGTTTCCACACTCCGGACAGCTCGCCTTTACTACTTTCTTCACCACTTCCTACGTCGTGGACCTGTTTCCCTCCATTCCCAAAGCATCATAGGATTGTAGATACCTTAATCTAATCGTCATAAACAGTTTCCACACTCCGGACAGCTCGCCTTGACTACTTTCTTCACCACTTCCTACGACGTGGACCTGTTTTCGTCCCTTCCCATAGCATTTTAGGATTGCAGATGCCTCAATCTAATTGTCATAAACAGTTCCCACACTCCGGACAGCTCGCCTTTACTACTTCCTTCACCACTTCCTACGTCACGGACCTGTTTTCCTCCCTTTCCAAAGCATTTTAGGATTGTAGATACCTTAATCTAATCGTCATAAACAGTTCCCACGGTCCGAGATGCTTGCCTTTACTACTTCCCTCACCACTTCCTACGTTGCGGACCTGTTTCCTCCCCTTCCCATAGCATTTTAGGATTGCAGATACCTTAATCTAATGGTAATTAAAAAAATGGTAATGAACAGATCCCGCGCCCCGAACAGCTCGCTTTTACTACTTCCTTCACCACTTCCTACGTCGCGGAACTGTTTCCTTCCCTTCCAATAGCATTTTAGGATTGCAGATGCCTCAATTTAATCGTCATAACCTGTTCCCACACTCCGGACAGCTCGCCTTGATTACTTCCTTTACCACTTCCTACGTCGTGGACCTGTTTTCATCCCTTCCCATAGAATTGTAGGAATGCATATACCTTAATAATCTTAATCTAATCGTCATGAAAAGTTTCCACACTCCAGACTGCTAACCTTTACTACTTCCTTCACCACTTCCTACGTCACGGACCTGAAGCTAGTGTTGTCATTTGATTATATTTATGATCCATACCGTTTCTGTTCTAATATCTGTGGAATAATGCTATCAGCTATTTCTTTATTTGCTGCATTCAAAACAGCTGATCATATGTCTTTGTTTATGTGTCAAATACTGCTTCCATAAGGATTACATTGAAACTTTGAGACCCAGTGGGGCGGATTCCTGAGAGACTTTTTTAACGCCATATAGATGTTGACACTCACCGATATGGTCTTTATCACCATGCAAAATTTGAAAACGATTGATTCAGCCGTCTAGGAGGAGTTTGCGTATTACGAAATGCATAAGAGTCGACGTATAAGAGCTTCGCTCGCTTCGCTCGCTCCGCTCAATAATTGATAATTGATATTTGATAAACAAACGGGATCAAAAACAAAGTGAGTCTCATTTATCTACATTTCATCCAAATTCCTCCATATAGGAATATATTTCTTTCAAATAATATTCCAAGCTCAATTACTTGAACTTGATCATTTGGACATTTCTTGGTCCTAATGATGAGAATAGACTCTGTCTACTGCTTACAGGAAAAAAAGTCAAATATACATTTTACTCAATCTTGTGATACCCAAAATAGGAAATATCATAACATCTATATTTTAGTTTTCACAAGTTGTATTACCTGGTCAGTGTATACAAAGGCTTCACAAATGCTAAGCTGGTTGGTGCCTGTGGTTCCCTCCAGATGAACAGACACAAAGGCACCAGGCATTGGAGGGTTGCATGGTAGGAAGAGTGGCTTGCCTTCCTCTAGGAACCCTGTGAATCTGTTGCAGATAGGGTTGGTTCCCAGGTCTGGTCTGTTGTTCCCCACTCGCACTACTATCGTGGCTGGCTTGTTTTTACCTAGAACAAAACCATAATTGATTTTTTATTTGGTACCCTGGTCAGAAAAGTACACCTTTTACCGAGGAAAGATTGTTATGTAGTTAATTCCGATGTAATTAGAAGATACTACACTGAGTGAATGCTTTGTTCATGTTCTCTGTGGTTGCAGAAGCAATATACAAAATACAAGTGTTCAAAAAAAGGTGTAGAGACATAGTTTATGTAGTGATTCCTTGAAAAAAAAAATAAGTTAAGAAGTTGTTATATGTCTGTATCTGTATGATTTTTACAAAAACACTCATAACTCCTTAACAATTTGAACTACAGCATTGAGATTTAGCATTGATCGAGCATTGAAGAGTTATAACCATCGGTGGCTTGCTGATTGAGTCATTTTCTATAGAAAAAGTCAAACTCATAAATAAGAGCAGTAAATGGCAAGGAAAGAGAAAAGAGCTGGAAAGACTCAAGAAAACGGCTTATAACGACAGGTTAAAATAATAGGGGTTTGTATTGATCGATAAAATTTAGTTTTGTTCTTTGTTGTAATCTCCCTATTTTTAATAACATTTTTATTTGTAAAGAAGGTTATTTGTTTACTTCGATGCTTTATTAGCAGACATGAGGCCGCATCCTAGTAAACTAGTACATAAATATAAAACTAGAATGTTAAGTCAAGTTAAAGGTTTTCTGTTTTTATTTTAAACCCAAACCGTCTATCACCTTCTTGGGGTTTTATTCAAGCAGAATAATTAAGACCAAGTCCTGCCATCATATCTGCCATCATCTCTGCCTGCAAGAAAGCAAGTTCAAAGTAGTATAATTAAGAGACATAATAAATACAAAACAGTAATAGGGAATAATAATATGTTTATTTAAGGGTCACCTACTTAAGGTTTTTTTAAACCAAACAGAATTAGGACAGAGTCCATTCTTCCATTCTGCCTGGTGGGGTACGGCCCTTGAGGGAACCATTCCGGCATTCGCCTTAGTGAGGAAAGAAACCGTACAAACTCTCCTCAGAATGGTCGGCCTGATAGTCAGACCTCCCGAATGTGAAGCAGCGTGATGCCACCTCACTCGGTCAGATTAATACTACTACAAAGATACTTAATACTAGTTAATACATAGGTTAAAACATAAGTTACTGTACTTAATACTTAGATACATCAAATAAAAAACCTTAATACTAATCTTGAATTGTGTTTCTTCCTTTCTTCCATATCCTTGAAAGCCTTAATTTTTTCCTTTGTTCTCAGCAGCAACTCATCTTCAGGCAGAACATTCAGTTGTTGATCTTTTCAGCGGCTTCCTCTTGAAGTTCTCAGATGATCACCTTTCCATAGTATGTGATTCTCCACATATTTTGCGGCCAACAAAAACACTTCGGCATTTGGAAACTCGTCTAAAGAGAGTCCTCTCCATATATTAGTATCTGAAGAACAACACCTTGCAGCTACAACATCAAATCCCTGCATGGTCCCATAAAATCCCATCTTTCCCTGCATGGTCACCATCTTTCTCCAAAGGCGGTATGGTTCCTTTTTATTGTTGTCCTCTGCAAGATTTCAGATTGGAGTAATGTGATGCCAATGGACAAACTCCATCATGTATTTCACAGAACTGCTTTACTTGTTCTTACTCTTCCAAACTCACTCCAACCACATGAGTTTTCCCAAATTTGACTGAAAAATTTAACAGCATCCATTTATTTTCTGGTCGGAGATTTAATTGGAGACTTAATTGTTTCCATAGAAACAAATATTTACTGACTTTTGTGATTGGTTTACTTGTTTGTTAAAGCATAGACAAATAGAATTAAATATAGACCAAACACAGTGCTGCAGTTAGCATAAGTTTTGAATAACTTCTTGATCAGCATTGTACAAGTACTTTTATATGTATTTACCGTCTTGTAAGTCAACAGTATAAGTTAGTGTAAATATATTATTACAAGTGTCATTAGACGTATTTATTTTTGTTTTTTTTTCATATAAGTTTTAGCGTCCACCGCTAGGAGTACCGTGTAGTTACATAACACGTGCTTAAGGCAGTGGACGCCAGATCTTATGCTAACTGCAGCACTGCTGTCGGTCTATATTTAATTCTATTCGTCTATTGTTAAACTTAACTACACTTGTTCTACATTCTATATAATTTTAAACTGTACCCTCCACAAGTGTGTCATACGAATATACAATGCTGGCTATAAAATACTGTAATGCAAAAAAATTTAGAACTATTATATTTGAAGGTGGATCTAAACATTTATTCTAATGAGTTCACGAACCAGCATGACCGGACTATGGGAAAGTTTTATAGGATATAAATGGAGAAAACTGTATATTGAGAGATTAACTTCTCTGTTATTCATAACTCAAACTAAGCTTAACAAGATATCGTTGATACCTCAATAAAATTTATAAAATGTTTTGTATCTTGAGATTTTCTGGTAAAATTAACGGTTTAATTGAAATTTGGAATGAAATATTAAAAATAGCCACCATTCTAAAACAGTTTACGAGTTTCGTTCACATTTTTCTCAAAGGTAGCGGCTAATAAGATGGACATTTTTTGCATAATCTCAAATACTGTGGTTCAAACCGCTAAGGAGTTATGAAAGTTTTTGTAAACAAAACACAAACAGACACTAAAAACAAACCAAGATAGCACATTAAAATGTTAACATAAATTTTGTTGCATATTTTGACTCAAGGAATCACTACTAAACCATGTCCCCACCCTTATTGAACACTCTGTAACTAACTGTAGTAAAAGAAAGAAACTAAGGGACAGTATGAACACCTTAATGCACATTACATTAGGAATATAAGGATTTATTTATGTAATATCTTCCATTCATCTTCTCCATAAGCTACTCACCATTGTAGTCGAAGGTGGTTCTGTAAGTATGAAGTAGTAGCATTTTTCTTGCAATTTTAAGTGCCCTTATTTCATGGCATATGAGGACTCCAATGAATCAACCTTAAGGAACTTTTTTAGTGACAATGCAGTTTCTCTAGATTACTCACCACAACAAGCTTTCCCAAAGTCCAGCCTGACGAGCTGTACCATGTAGGGCTCCAACAGGTTGACATACCACCAAGGTACTCTCTCAGGCCTAGTGAGGGTACAGGTCTCTGCGTTGAAGAAGGAGCTGGTGCTGCCATCAATGGCCTTCTGGGGAACTCCTCCTTGCTCAGAACTGATCTGCATGGGAGCTTTTCCAGCTGCCACGTTCAGAACTGCAACAAAACACAATGTTTGAGGATCTATGCAAAGGAAAGATTTTGATTAATTGAGATGTACATTAAAGAGAAGAAAATCACAGTAGATGAGAATTCTCGTAGATTGCAATATGAACAAGATATTGTGGCTTAGGATGATTATCAGATTTGGTAAGTTGGTGGGTGTTGATTACGTGGGGTTTCTATTGGTATTGTTAATTGTGTAGCACATAGAGGGATTGGATAAGGGAAATGTAAGTTGCCCAAGATCATGTCATTGAGTGAAGTAGTAGGCCCAATCGATTTAGATTTTTATGAAACAGGTAATATACTAAAACTTTCACAAAGAAGATCAACATCTAGATTGAAGTACAGTCGGCCTACTACAGATAATAATGCATGAAACATATTTCTTTCTGTTTTTAAGAATTCTTTCTTGTATGTTTAAAGTATGTAGCACTAAAGTAAGGGAACTCCTCCCGGGAGTTCAATAAGTCATGCGCCAGTCACAAAATTGTCACACAATCTGCATTCTTCGTTTTGAACGGCAGATTCTACATTACAAAATTACAGTACTTTGAGTGGCAGATCGCACGTAAAGGGAGGGAACCATTTTCATTCTAGAAAACCCATACTTAGTCAACACTGGAGGAAGCTGTTCTATCCGCTACGATAGACTTGATATGGCATCCGTTTGCGTAAACGTAAAAAGCCTTTTCTAAGACCTCGGTGTTAATGTTACTTTCACTGGGAGTGTCCGCCATTGTACTGTGTTGTGTTGTGTTGTATATGTGTATGGCTTTCTATTGACGAGACCACAAAGGACGTTAACTCACGAGTCTACTCATTCACTCCGTCGATGTTGTCACTTCGTCCAGCGTTCAGAATAGTTTATCGACATATGGAGTCGTCATGTAGTAGACCCAGCTTTGGGGTCACTCGTTCTCAATCGTATTTCTAGAGGAGGGTTGTTGCTTTAAAAGCCTTAGATTGTTAATGGGTTTAAAACATCGATCGAGTCTGTCAACTAGATGGATTCAATCACTGGCGGGAGATACCGTAAGATAACAAATCCAGGACTACAAAAGTGGTTCTCTTTTATTCTTACAGAAAATTACAGTAAAAGAGGATAATTATTGATTGTATTATGCTAAAGATAATGAACGTCGTCTATCAAAAGATAAATTGTCATTAATATTTTATTTTTCACATACACGTTTTATATATTTGTTTTGTTATAATGGCAGTTGATAGATTATGTAGATATCATTCAAGTATGATATTGAATATGCATCTAACCTGCCACCTAAACGGGAAATTTGTAAATATTTACATATAATATTAGTATGTTTGTCTCTGTCAATCCAGCAAGCTGGTCATCGACGTCAATGAGGTAATTAAGGTAGGTGAATCTTGGAAAAGATGTAACTATAAACCAACAATGTAACAGACCAGCCAAGCCTTGCCCCCAAAAGTGAAGTATTTACTTCAGAGCCAAAATGAAGTCTTAAGAAACTTATAGTATGAGTATAAAAAAGCCCTCTAGTCTTTTTTCTAAAAAAGTTCTTCTTCCCTCGGGCAACCGTTTGCTTCTCCTACCATAAAGCATTCTCATCGCATGTGAATGTTTGATCATTTCCTGTGTAAGATTTGCAAAGTTGGAGAGTGAAGTGATTTCTCTTCACAAAAACCCCAACGAAGCTGACTTAGATGGCAAATCCAGTAGATAGTCGTGTCAAGAAGAGAGAGAGGCACTTAGTATGCGACGAGCAAAGGATTGCCAACCTCAAAGAATCGGTGCCGTACACGCATGGCAGACTTTCTGCAAAATGGAAACTATAAATGAGTCATGTTGGCATTGCTGATACTACTAAATGAGAGAAAATCTTTAAATTGATAGGAACTTTCTAATTGACATTCGACACCCACACATAATATTGAGAGGTTCCTACCAAATTGCCAATTAAGGCGGGGAAACGCATGATTTAACCTAAATATCAACAAAGAATGAATAGTTTAGTTTTAGTAGTAGTGTAGTTTTGCTACCAAGGCCAGATTTTTCTTTGGGCAGAACCATTTGATCAAAAGCAAAATGATCGGGGACTGCTGGGCTTAGTTTTTAACCATGAAGTTACACTTAGTATGCGACGAGCAAAGGATTGCCAACCTCAAAGAATCGGTGCCGTACACGCATGGCAGACTTTCTGCAAAATGGAAACTATAAATGAGTCATGTTGGCATTGCTGATACTACTAAATGAGAGAAAATCTTTAAATTGATAGGAACTTTCTAATTAACATTCGACACCCACACATAATATTGAGAGGTTCCTACCAAATTGCCAATTAAGGCGGGGAAACGCATGATTTAACCTAAATATCAACAAAGAATGAATAGTTTAGTTTCAGTAGTAGTGTAGTTTTGCTACCAAGGCCAGATTTTTCTTTGGGCAGAACCATTTGATCAAAAGCAAAATGATCGGGGACTGCTGGGCTTAGTTTTTAACCATGAAGTTACACTTATAACTTCTCAGGATGAGCTGGGTCGTAATAGTATGACTTATCGTAAATGATTCTATTATACTTTTGCATGTTGACTAAGCTAAAACTATGTGATTTGAGACTTCGCATAAAATAAAACGGGGCTTACAGAGCTAACGGGGATTTACAAAATACCAATGTAGGTCTTAAACTTGACAGATATCTTTCAGTTAAATCATCAGTTGAATTCACATGTAAATGATCTTCGAAGAATTCATAGGCTTCTTTATCTCACAAATTAAAAAATATCTCTTAAATTCGAAATTTTCCTCTTCCGTATATCCTAGACACTATACAGTATCTTTAGAAAGTAAGATCGGCCAATGCGACATGTGTGTTTTGGCTACGGTTATTATCCTGACATATTCAACACTTTCCCGATTATTTTAGGGGAAAGTGTCATTGATGAGGGCATGAAGGGAGGATACAGGTTCGAAAGTTCCTCCCGGTGGATTAGCGATTGGACCCGCTCCGGCAAGGAAGAGCTGGAATGTTCCCGAATTCTTAATTTAACTAACAACGTTGCGTTACTAATCATTCTAGATTGACTTGCTCACGTTTTTAACCCGGTTATACACACAGGTAATTAATTATTTGATGAAATAATGGCGTTGTTGAAACCCATTTGTGACAAGATGGAAATATACTATCAATGGGTATGCCGAATGTAGATTTCAAGCGCACTGATATCTCCAGCGAATCATATTGCCATTACCAGGTTAAGCTGTAGGTTGTAGAAGGTTTGAACATAAACCACTCCCAATTAAATTTACAATCATTTATGAATCAGCCGAAGTCAGTTTGAATATTGTTTTCCTCAGATTTAAAAGAGGGCGTTTTGTAGTTTGAGATTTGTTTCTTGTTACTTAACATTTTTTTAACTATCAACGAAATATAACAATCAATTTTGTAATTTATTTCACCCTGGTGTTATAACAATACCTTAAAGTATAAACCGTAAATCCATCCTAAAATGTCAGAGATACATAGACACAATTCGTTAGTGTAAAACACGCACAAAAGCAGACTGATTCTACAATAGGATGGGATACTTGCAGGAGAGTATATTTGATCAATAGTTTTAAATACCAAAAACTCACGAATGAAATACAACGTCCGATCATATGCACCATACGAAACACTCCCATCCATCATAAAGCCTAATGAGTAACAAAGAGCTGTCCATTATCGGAAACATTACCAGATGCCATGGAGCAATATGTCATCAAGGAAGTAACGGGAGGAAGGATGTTGAATAACGACCCCAACACGAACGTCGATACTATAAAGTGCACTTAGGCTTCATGATAACACTGTTGTCTGCCTTCACACTCAACACTCGGTATCAGCTGGCAGCCGGATACTAGCTGAGGGTAGTGGCTTGGGACAGGACAGTGAACTAACATTATTAATCGGTTACCTTTGGATTCGATCGGAATGGACCCGGTGCGAAATTGGTAAACGTTGAATTTATGAAAGTCGCAATCAACTTATCTTCCTTGTAACAAAAAACTATATTTTCGTTGGGTTTCCTCTAACCATGTATATGCGATCATAAATTAAACGAATCACAAAGTTTACGAGCTATCCCTGACTGTAGAAAACCCTTAATGATATCAATCAAAAGATGGTCATTCAAATATTTGTGTAACAGAAACAGTTGAGGGTTGGGTCAGGTATCAGTGAAGAGCCCTTCTCCTCCCACCTGATTTTACGCTCCGCTGCTTCACAAAAAACAGCACCCTGCAACGAAACACCTGCATCATGCCCTTCCCCTCTATAATCGAGACGTCGCACTTACACCGTCTTTTGTCCACATTGTTGCCTTGACTCTGGATCGGTTCAGGATAAAATACAATAATTCGTTAAAACATTGACAGTTTCCATAGCTCAAAACATTTCATCGCTAAATTAATTATTATTTCCTCGAACAATAAACCACATTTTTCTATTACATAATCCTGATTTATTCAGATAAATACACTGAAATTTGAACTGTTTAGAGAGTAAGCATTCACAACGAACAGAGAACAAACGAAGGGAGAACCATAAAAAAACATGACTAAAACACGTAAAACATAAGATATATCCTTAATGAAAAACAAAGACATAAAATATAAATGTATTTTTATGTTTAGAGAAAAAAATTGTAGTGTCTGTTACTATGTAGAGTAAAATAACTCGCCACTTGGAATGGAGCGAAATAATCAGTGCAAATTTAGCTTTTTGGCTGATTATGATCAGCTTCTCCGTAGCCAAGACCACGATTGCTCAAAGATCGAGAACAGGTATGTTCAGTTTTTAACTATCATGGAGCTACTGACTTTTCTCAAGATCGAACCGATGACCTTCTGACTATAAACAATAACAATTTTAACCACTCAGCTACTGGCTATACAATTGGAGTACGAAATGTCAAAAAATAATTATCACAGTTAAGTACATGACTTGGAATTTCGATGTTAGAGCCTAAAAGAA